TCTAAAGACAAGAAGACTAAAGATTCTTATATATATATATATATATATAAATATATAACAAGACTAAACAATATATATATATATATATATATATATATATATATATAGATAAGAGTAAAAAAAGGCTTTATTCTTGTCTCCATATATTCTATCTAATTAAAAGCTATATCGCCATATTTTATAGGTCTTCTAATATGTATCTAACTTAGAAGACATGTATTTAACTTATAAGACAAGTTTCATATATATGCGCCATATATCCAACTTATACCACAAGATGCCAACATGTGCAATATGTGGCTAACTTCTTGGCCTAGTTTCTAACCTATTAATTACCTACAAATATGTATAAAGTAAAATTTGCATCAATGAAACTTCTAAGAAGTTTTTTCACATATATTATCAAATCTATCTACATTTATTTTTTACCTAACTCTTCTTATCTAATTAATTATATATGTTAATAACAACTTCTTTTAATCTTTGTATCTTACAAAGAAAGCTTGAGAATTTTAAAACAACCTTTGAAGGCTATTTCTTCTTGAAGGTGTATTGCAATCAACTTTTGGAATATTATAGTTTCTAATGTGCATAGTATTTGAATTATTGTACCATATTTTAATAGCATGGATTTCATAAAAATAAAGATTTCTATTTATGGTAGAATAATTACTCCTAAAAATTAGCATCTTTAGAATAAAGTCTTATAATTATATAAATATTATATTATAAATTTTTCCATAGTCATTTTTAATATTATGAATAGTTCTTACAAGTAAGCTTAAGTAAAAACATTACTAGCAGAATATATAATCTCTAGAGCTATCCATGCTTCATTAGATGTTTTATATGCTCTTATATGTGAAAAAATGGAGTTGTTTGTACAATCTTTGATAGTTGCAAGAACAATATGATCTTTCTTTTTTCAAGTAAGAATTGTAGTTTGATTTATTAGTAGTCATTATATTACTATATTTAGTTTTTGACTGATAATGGCTGTTTTTCTATGCAAGAAACTAACTCTCACATATCTTTTATGTCAAATTTAATTTTTCTTTTTTTTCTTTTAGATTGTGAACCAAATTTTGAACCATCAAATTTTAGACATTCTTTAATAATGAAGTTGTTTAAAGCCATGCTTGTAAGAAAAGATCTTCTAATACATAAGTTTTGTATAAAATGTCTTCAATACATCCTTTCTTCTTGTGAATTATATTTGTAGTTTTCTATAATCTAAAACTTATTTTATTAAGTTTTTTAAATTTTTTTGTTGCTTTGATATCATATTAAAACTACTAAGATAAATTTGGATTTAGTAATTTTAGGATTTAATAAATTTATTTATGATTATGAATAAGATGTTATATTTTTTTAATCTTGTCAAAGACGAAATATCCAAGTATATTACAACTTCTCCACATGGTGTGTCATTTTTCTTGATTGGTTTTATTCACCACTAATTAGTTAAATATTTTGACTATTTGTAATTTCTAATACAAATATATAGACCATAGCAAAACTATGAAAATATCTACATGTGATTACTTACACTCTTCAATACTTGCATAAAAGTGGGAGAGAGAAAAAGGAGAGAGAGAGAGAGAGAGAGAGAGAGAGAGAGAGAGAAAGAAAGAAAGAAAGAAAAAAAAAAAGAAAGAAAGAAAGACCTTATGTAGCTATTACAACACTAGCTTATAATTTTTTCTTTTACACAAAGCTGCGGATTGGACCAAAATTTTACTTTATTTTCTATTTTTGAAGCTTATTTCTCTATTAATATATTTAAATATAGATAATATCTTTGAGCATAAATTTTATATATTATATGGATCAAATTTTAGTAGTAAGTTTTTGTAAAGAAGTAGTAGTTTTATTTTTATACATAAAAAGATTTTAACTAGTATAATAAGAATTTAAAAAATTAAATATATATATATATATATATATATATATATATATATATATATATATATAATTTTTTAAAGAATAATTGTAATGAAATCTTGATCAATAGATAAAAAAATCACATATTTTGTATATAGTTGAATATCATCTATTATTTAAAAATAATATTCTAATTATATATATATATATATATATATATATATTTATTTATTTATTTATTTATGTATATATATATATATTTAATTACATATTAAAAATAAAGTGACTTATCTCATGTACTAAAAAAATATTTAACTTCAATACTTTAAAGATTCAATTGAAGAGTTGATATAATATTTACAAAATAAATATGTTGTTTTTGAAAAAATAATTAAAAATTATAAAAAAAAATGATAAAGATAAAAAAGTTTAATCAAGACTGTGTAGTAAGTCAAAGTTAAATATTTGTTTAAATATCAAATAATAAATAATAAAAACCTTCTCTAAAAAATAAATAAAGATAATTATAATAACCTTATTAAAACAAAAGAAAAGTAATTTAATTTTTTTTCGAATCTTTGTAAAGATAAAATAAAAGAAACATAAAAATAGAAATATAAAATCCAAGATTATTAATTTTTTTAGAAAAATTTTAAAGAAGAATAAAGACTCTAAAGTCCTTTGGAAGATCTCAAATCATACTAAAGGTTTTTAAATGTTGATAAAAAAATCTTACAAAAATCAAAAAGATCAATAAAAAAAAACAAAACAAAACAAAACAAAACAAAACAAAAAAAAAAACAAAAAAACAAAAAAAAAAAAAAAAAACAAACAAACAAACAAACAAACAAACAAACAAACAAAAAAACAAACAAAAGAAACTAAAATAAAAACAAAAACCTTAGAATATTTTAAAAGGTGCTTCAATTGTAGATTGTTGTATATTTGTGATGTTAATTTTTGTTTAGCAACTAATTTTATAAGAATCTTTAACAATCTATTTCTTTATATCTCTATAAAATCAAAGCTTTTTCATAGAATTTTTAGTATATGTTGTCTTTTGGTTTATTTTCAATAGAAGTATAAGTTTATTCAAACAAAAAGTATGATTGCAACAATTTTTATTAATGATCTTAGTCTAATAACTTATTATAAGTTGAGACCTTTAAAACAACTTGAGAAATAGTCTCTAAATTTTTAGGTTTAAACAAAAAAGAATCTATATATTAGAACTTCTTCAACAACTAATGTAGCAATATGTGTTCTATGTTTTGGTATTGAAGAAGCTTATAGTAAAACAGGAGGAATTGTAATAAGAAAAAAAAAATAAAAATATATATATATATATCTCAAATGATGCAATTATTATTTTTAAATGAAACAAATGAATGTTAAAAATATGTAACACCTATGTATTTATAAGAAATTCATAATGTAAGAATAAAATAGATCAATCAGTAGTATTTGCACTATGTACAATATTTTGTTACATAATATAATAATAAAAAAAAAAATGAAAGATTGTTGATTTATTATCAAAAAGTAATGCATACTAGAAAAGATTACATAGATGAGGATATTAATTTCTAAAATAAAAAATTACAAAAAATAATAATTTTTAATCTTTAATTTACAAAATTTGATTCACTAAAATTATGTTTCTATCTTGAATATCAAAATAAGAATCTATTGATTTGAATATTGTTTAAAATACGTTTGATGGTGATAGATAGTTAAGATACAATCTATTAGAAGATTAAAGTCTTTGATGCTGAACTTATAAAAATGACCATTAAAAGCTTATTTGATACAAAAACAAGACTTTTCGTGTTTAACAAAAGAAATGGACTAATTCACTTGAGTTTCCTGATGCATACTTAGCCAACAACATTTTAAAGGCAGGAGAAGAGCTAAGACAGAACAAGGATTTGATATGTATTCAACAACCAACAATTATTGATGTAGTGATCAAAAAAATTACATGCTTTGGCATTCAATTTTCATAAAATATAATTTCTCTAAAGTTTGAAAGAAGTCTAAAACAAAGAGAATAAAGTGTAGTATCATCATGAAATTAAAACAATAAAAAATTCACAAAAAAAAAAAAAAAAAAAAAAAAAACATAATATCTGGTATGCTTTAAAATATTAATTTTAATTTAAAAATCTCAAAACAAAGAAAACATGTTTATCACACTATTTCTAAAAATGGATATAATTGTTGCAAAGAAGCATCTACTTGGACAAATAAAATAAATCCAAGAAAGACAAAATAACCATACAAATATTATTTTTTAAAACAAGAAAAGAATAATAAAAATTAGGTTGTCAGATTGCGATTATATTATGACCCTCTAAGGTTAAGTTGTGGCAAAAGCAAAACAAACCTAATTTGCAATGGCAAAAGCTAGAAAATAGATGGCGACCAGAGATGGAACAGTTGTGAATAGATTGGTGGATGCCCTTATTAAGTTATCCAAGCGAATTCATTGCATTTGCTTGGATAATGAATGAATGAGAGCTAATTCATATAAATTAAGGAAAAGGAAAAGGCTATTCGGGGATAGACTCGAGTGAAGTTGTGAACAGCGAGGAACTAACGTGCAGTGTGAGAGGATGCGAAGGGTAGTCACTAAGACCTGGGAAAGTGAGTGGTCACAGTGAGCGGGAGGCCATGACTCTTGAACACGGCAAGTTCAGTGGTTGCAGCACAGACAGACAAAGAGAAGAATAGAAGAGAAGAGAAGAGAAGGCAAGGCAAGGCAGGGCTTTTGTAGGTCTGTATCCCAAGCTGTATTCCAGAGTGCAATCTCTTCGCGTCCGACGTTGCATGCAGCATAGCATCTGCGTGTAGGCCATCATCGTTGGGTATGAACCCATTTGGAACATCGTGACTACAATGGATCCATGGCCAAGCTATTCATCCCATCTGTGGGATCGCAACCCCGCGTCGTCTTTCTTGCTCCTTGGAGGCCCCTGGTATCCGATGACTAATCGGAATGGGACTCTGAATCCCCTCATGAGACTCCACGTCGTCATCGTATTCAGTTCATGGCCTTGACACCGGTAATCCTGGGTGGGCCCAACAACCCATCTTGGATTCATCTCTCCCACCTTAAAGCCGTTATTACTTCCAGTCTTGAGTGTGCATTTCGCCCACTCTGTTGCCACCAATTTCTTGGAGCTTCTCTCTGGCACTCTCACATTCCTCGTGGCATTCGCGTATGTGGTCAAATTCTAGCTCTGGTCTCGTGACGTAGGAGCCTCGTGTTGTGAGCCAGCTTTTGTTGTGATGGTCGTGAAGTTGCGGTAAATTCTGAGTTGACATATCGTCCTGAGCTCAGGTTTGATTTGCTTGAATATCTCCTTACCTAACCTCGTACGTGGAGGTATCGTAGAAAGTAAAAAGCTCTTCTTGATGGGTAGACCCTTCTTTTGGTAGCATGAAATGGTTTTCGTAATGGCTCATGCAGCTGAGCAGCGTTCTCGACTTGTACACGCTTTCTTTCCTGGTTCTGGTAGTTTTTTTTTTTTTTTTTTTTTTTTTTTTTTTTTTTTTTGTGGGGGGGGGGGGGGGTCTTGAGAGCCACTTGAGCTCGGTTCGCACTGGTTATTTCTTGCACTTGAGCTCGGTTCGCACTGGTTATTTCGTGCACTTGAGCTGACCTGTTCCCTATCTGCTTAGAAAACATGCATGAGGCTTTCTAATTCTTGGCTGACTACACCATTTGGTTCAAGCTTTCGTTTCAAAGATGAATGATCAGAAAGCTACGGTGAACATCTGCGCAGCAATGTTGCTCAGAGTGACCTCCTGACTGCCTCCAGCGAATTCATAAGTGTGATGATACTGTTGTTCGACAGTGATTCCTGTGTGTTAAAAAATGTTGTTTGCACAATCCCAAGATGTCCGTGATTAGAATGTAGAGGTCAAAATGTAGCGATAGATGGGGCTCTCACAAAGATTGTAGCAATAGATGCTGAAAAAATGCAGATACAATCCATTCAAAGCTAATGTAAAGGTCATTGTCTTCTTGACGGATTCAAGCTCCAAGAACGCCACGAAGGATCCAATCATCCTCATTTCGAGTTTGCTCTTTTGGCAACGAGATTCTTTATTTTAGAATCATTTAACCGAGTAGTTCTTTGTTATTTAAATATTGCATTTAAGACAACGTGGAGCTTCAGATCTTGCATTTTAGTGACCTGTATGGATCCTTCAGGCGAGCGAGTATGACGACTGATCTTCAGGACATTGCATTTGCTAAGATTTAGTCGATATGACAATTATAGCTGAATGCTCACACCTGCTACATGTATGCAGCTTTGTAATTTGCGCCAAAAATTTGTGAGTGGCTCGCACGAATCTGAGTACCCCGAGAAGCTGTACGTAAAAAATTGCTATCATGGCCTTCGGTATTGGGAGGGGAATCTCCACTCCACTTCTTGCTTTGAATTTTTGCATGTACATAGCAACTGGAGCAATTGCCGGATGGGCTTTGAACAAGAACATCGACTCCTCTGCGGGCGCTGGTGGCTACGTCGGTTGGTGCCGCACTTGTTGCTACTGAGTTTTCTAGTTTGCAGTTCCCAATCCGCGACTTGGAAGTACTGGAATTCTTTCAGCATTCTGCTACTGTAATGTTTCTCTTTCTGCGTGATGACCCGCAAGAAATTTATGGTTTGTTGGTGATGTCCAGGCAATGCGGCGACGTTCTACTTCCTGCCGATGGTACTCATTGCATCTGTGGTAGGATTGGCATCCACCTTGGCCGGAATTCACCACTTGAGAGAGTGGCGCATTGAAAGCCTTGCAGCTGCCGCTTCCGCTGCCCTTATAGCCTGGACCCTCACTCTCCTTGCCTTTGGGTGAGAAAATCCAATCTTAAATTCCAATTTTTAGAATGTCATCTGAACAATAACTGTTCTCGGAAGCGACCGTTTTACAACTTTGGTCTACTTGTGACAATCCACAAGAGCCCAGACATTGCCTAAGAGGTGGCGAGATAATAGTGAAGGTGACCATAAGTCGGTTTGATAATCGAACTCACCTGAGATTTTTCTTTCTTACGCAGCGTCGCTTGCAAGGAGATTCATATTGGAGGTCCACGCTCGAGGAAGCTGGTAAGTATTCAGAACTCCACAGCAATCACCTTGCTATCATTTACCTCATCACGATTGTGAGTCCGACAGTTGTTTTTCCTGTTGCAGAAAGTGGTGGAGGCTCTCATCATCGTCTTGGCTTTGTTTGAGCTCCTCTACCTGCTCTCCCTTCACGCTGGGGTGTTGGGGGGCGACCGTTTCGGCCCTGCATACAGTAACACTGGAGCGGGGGGTGCTAACATGGTTTTGGTACAAGCTGGGGAGAAGCACCATGGCATTCCCGCTGCCGCTGCAGTCTAATATACAAATACGTCGGCGCCATCGCCAGCAACGTCCTAAGGCGGACTCCGATCCTCGGAGCGGCATCTCTGATCTTCTTGTTCTTCTCTCTGAGTGGCCCATTTATTAGAAAGATGCCACTAGGCCTTAGATAAACTTCGAGCTTTGGCTCCTCCACCTCCTACTGTCGATGCTTGCTCCTCCTCTGTCTCACACATCTGTGTCCGTCGTTGAATCATTTAACTTCCTTCCTTCCTTCCTTTCTTCCTTTATTTCTTTCCTCTGAAATTGAGAATGCTCAATCTGTTATTGGTACTTCCGTCTGTAGTTGCAAAGGCTGAGGAGACACTGGATTGTGCAGAGCTTGCCCTATCCCAAACATGATTCAAAATGAACTCACTCTGATAAACAAAAATTGGGCCTTTTAAGAAGTATCGTGTCTGCACACCCATCTGAGACCTGATCTTTACAAAACATGATCTTGGCTTTTCTCTTTCCAACCCTCTTGAAAACCACCCATGAGTACTTCACTTGCAATCTATAGACCAAGGAGATTATATTGATCATTCCATGAGATGGAGTTATGAATTGGTGACAGCCGGTAAGTTCGGCACAAGTCTCATTGAAAGTGTGCACACTTCTCAACCATGACTAGTTTCTATATCTTTTGTGTATGCTCGTTTATATAATCCATCATCCATGCTGCTTGGGGTTTGGATCAGGTTTGCAGCAAACAGTCTCCATGGCATCTTCTCCTGCATGTCTTCCTCTGCCTCCTGCTCCCTTGACACCAACCCATTCCATACCATCCACCCTTTCCGTTTCATTCCTTGTTCCATTCAAGTTCCACAGGATGATGTAGCTCTCCCATGAAGCTTTGATGCAGCATACTTGTACAATTCATGAATACAAACATGAAACTATTAAAGGAACAAAACAAATGTCTGGATCTATCAAAAATGCAAATACTGCAATATGTAAATTGATCACAAGTCACAAAATTCAAATTTTAAATGACAATATTTTACTTCGAAAAACATCTTTTTAAGTTTATAATGAAAATTAATAATTACTAAATAATTCTGAATAATAGATTTCATAAAATAATTATCAGATAATGTCTAAAATAAAACATAATGGTTCAACATGCCCCTTTAACATTTTTTATAGTTAATCAAATATGTATATGTCATATAATATAATATAATGTAATATAACATTATTCAGCATTATCTATTATATTAAATTATTATCTTTTTTATAAGAAAATGATAAGACAAAAAAAAACAACAGAGTTTGTACTATGAAGATTACAAGAAAGTATGATTGAAATCTCTTTATTTAATTAAAAATCATAACAAGCAAAGGTTCTAAAATAAAATAAAATAATGAGTACAAACACACACACACACACACTCACACATACTCTAAAAAATCCTACTCCATATCCTTGATTTTCTTCAAAAGCCTATCTAATTTATTTTTAATTCTGAAATGGTAAATATATTAATTTTCTAAAAACCCACAAACACTGAAAAGCGGGTCGATTCACAAACTAGACGCTGACGGGGTCAAACGGCGGCGACGTTAGTTGACGGCCAGCGGCGACACATGCGGCGAAGCCTTGTTTCAGTCGCTCCTCGCACCATCATGTTTGCGGAGTTGCGTCCGCCACTCTTGCATCACTTCAATCGCAGTTGCAGTGTACCCCTCCTAGTTTCCTCGTGTCCAGGCTCTGTTCCCTACTTCAATTGTCCTCCAGGACCACGCTGCAGCTTCCATCCTCCAGTGCGGTCGTAGTCTACATGCTCTGGCGAGGTTTGGAGTTTTCTTAGCCAAGTGTTCATGGAATTTTGGAAGAGGTTTGTGGGTTCAAGGTGTATACTTGCGACGGAGGATTGCACCGTGTTGTGGCTGAGTGAGACTTGTGAAGATCAAAGATGAGCATTGCTGCCGCAGTGATGGGCATGCTTTGAGGATTTTAGGTCACAGGAGTCGTAGAGTGAGGGTAACTGGCAAAGGCTTCAGTGAGGTGGTTGAACTTTGGATGCGGTGAGGAAGAATTATGTGGCAGGTGTTGGGTCGATCTTGGAGGGTGACGATATCGCCGGCAGCTGTTTTCAGAGGATTGTAGCCATGGATTGAATACTGTTATTTGTAGTTCTGAGGAGAAGTGAAAGAGAAGCAGAGCGAAGAGTTGGAATTGTTAGTGTTTGGAAATCGTGAGCTCTCAAGGTAGAGCTCCTTCACACCCGGAAAGATGCACATTGGAAATTCGGGTTTCATTTGGGTGAAATGTGGACCATCAAGCTGCCTGAGCCGCCAAGTAGCAACACGGGCATGCCTGAGATTTTTGATCGTGGTATCTCCTGTGTTGTGCGCCGCGCGGTCATTATTGGAAATGGAGCATCGGGAGCTGAGCATCAGTGTATAGGTCTCGTACGTGCTCTTGGGCTTACGAATTCGCACACTCTGCACGTGAGAGTCTTCTTCTCTACGTCCACCCCCTAATTTGTTGACATGAATTGCGTTAGTTTAGCCTGAGCAAGAATTTCGTTCATTGTTTGCAATCTTCTGGAATATCGAACGAGTGTCGCTGTAGTTTTACTTGTTCGAGTTGATGGAATCCGCTCCAGACATTCGAAACGAACTATAAACTTCACCAGGATATTCTGCTATTCTCTTGTATGAACAGAATTAGGGTCCGTGGTTCATATCTCTCCGGATTTTCCATTGATCTTTGCTACTTTGTGAATATTTTGGAGTGGATGTCTAAGTCAAAAACAACTTCGAGCACACTGCTATAGTATTCAAAACATGCTTCCGAAAGATATTGTTACTGACCGACTAACGTGACATTCCAGCGTGGTGAAGTAGCTAGGATTTGAAGCACCTTAGAATTTTTTGTGTTTTGCAAGTGTGACCGCTGTACATTGTTTAGGCTTGGTTTGGAAAAGATTTCGATAAAGTTTTCATGCATCTAGTGTCTCGATTTCTGTACGAGTCCCGCAATCTTTCTCAACTCACCACAGAATGTTACGTTCTATGCGTATGAATATTCACAGATTCTGATTTCCTCTGAGATTGACCTCTGCAGAGAGTAAATCGCCCCAATGGAGGATTTATTGACATTCATTTAAGATGGTTATCGGTTCCAATTCACAAGAAGGTGGATTTTGTTCTTAGACATATCCAGTCTAACTGGCGGCGTCTCCCACTCCCAGGTATTCTTAGTCAACTTTTAGGCGATTCCGACCCCTTGTCTCCAGACTCTAAACCGCCTGTACCTAGGAAAGGACATGGACTGCATGCATTAATTATGGATGAAAAACCAGTCCCTGAAGCTGATGCTTATCGCATTGCCGCCCTTGCTTTGGAAGACTTAGACAGGTACTTGCAAGACTCTGTCGTTTCAAATTTTTGCGCTAGCTTTTTCGTGACATGCCTAGCATATTCCTCGGTTTTTATGGAATTTATGATGCTCTCTGAGGGCCATATGTGTACAAATTGTCGTAATTTTGTGAAACCCGTTTCGTGATTTGTTTATGGCTTACTTTCCTTTTTATCTATGTTGGATAAAACCCTAACGGGACTGTTAAATTTCATATCCACGATTAGGGAGGGGCCTCTCTTAATCGTGGCATCAGGTCGGGATACAATCTCTGTGGCAGCGGCTGTCAAAAGATTAGCACCTGAAGCTACATTTGTTGTTCAGGTGTGATCACTTTTGCCCTCCCCTTTTCTCTATAGCATATGTTAGGCACCAGCCATATATATGATAAATTTTGAAGTCTGTTTGCTCTTTTCTGATTAAACCAGAGCGATCTTTCTGACATCCTTTATGGTGTAAGTTTTGTTTGAAGGAAATTTTCTACTGTTGCACACAGTTCGTTGCTTACTACTCTTCAGTGTATAGATTGCTGAATTCGTGCTTGTGCAGATCCAACACCCGCGATGGGGCCTGGACCGATTCGACATGGTTCTCGCTCCAATTCATGATTACCATATTTTGAGTCCAACCGCCCGCCAAGAAGTTCCTAAGCTGCTACTGCAATGGATCACACCGCAGCAACCCCCTGATAAACATGTGGTCAGTCCTCGTTGGGCATGCCGGTTTTTGTGAGTTGCTTACCGTTTTTCCAGTTACTCACCTTAATGGTTTGTTTTGTACGTAGAACTAAGCAATTCTACTTGCAGGTGCTGACAGTTGGGGCTTTACATCACGCCGATGCATCAACATTACGTGCAGCTGCTACTGCTTGGCAATCTGAGTTGGCACCCTTGGCAAAGCCTCTGCTAATCGTTGATGTTGGTTTTCCAACAAGTAAGATATTTTGAACTCGAATAAATAGCATAAAATATTAATTTGTCAGATATGTATTGAATTATCTGCTGATTGTGCCGTAGCTTCTCAGGATATTGCCGATACAGGGAAGACTTAGCCCTGGAGCTATTGTCAGCATTGAAGTTAATTCTTAGTACCTGCGGAAGTTATAGAATAACTTTTTCTCAAAGAACACCTAGTCAGGTATATTTTCTTTCTTATTGTGGATTTGTGAATTATTGCAGTTTTTATGGATTGACTTGAGGGGGAATTTCTGTTATGGTTGACTTTAAAAATACAGGGAAATTGTACGTGTTTGTGGTGGTGTGCTTGGAATATCGAAATTACCCTGTTTTGAGGCTCCTGACATGCTTTTAATGTGGAGGCTCAGCCCATTCATTGGCCTTTCAATCCACGCATGGATGGTGCTCATCTGGGTTTGATACCTTATTGCCTGGCCTCTTTTTGTGCTTACAGTTTTGTGGCCACTAAATACCTTTTTCTAATTTATTTTCTTTGCAGATTGTCAATCTGTTGACAAGAGAGCTGGGGCAGCATCCAAAAGTTTTTATTTGGGATGGCAGAGGTACATTGTTGTGATGTTTCTAATCTTCATGGTTTTGTTAGTGGTCGTTATCCTTTCTGTAATAACATAGAGCTGATGGGAAAGTGTGAGTTATTTTTCTTGCGTGAAGTATTGCACTGATTCATCGAATATTCTGGTGACGAAGATGATAATTCGTTATATGTAACCCTGAGCCCCGAGCCCTGAGTCTGGTTTTCTATTCTGTGGAAAATTGAAGCACCTGTGCATTTTGCTCCTTTCAGGTCCGAATCCACACTTTGGACATCTTGCATGGGGGGGATGCATTTGTGGTTACGGCTGATTCTGTCAGTATGTTAAGCGAAACATGCAGCACAGGGTACCTGGAACATTCCCTTCTCTCTCTCTCTCTCTCTCTCTTTTTTTTTTTTTTTTTTTTTTTTTTTTTTTTTTTTGTGCATCTCTCATTTTTCATACGTGCTATATATTATTTGTAACCTCATCAGAGTTCAAAGTCAAAACTGTTGCTAGGCTTGGAATTTTTACTTTAAATGTTTACAAGGCCTTGATTTGCTCAGTGAAATTCTTTGTACCTTGTAGCTTGGTAGTCAATGCCAGTTTTATCCATACATTTTCATTGTGAACAGGAAATCAGTTTATGTCGTTGGTGGAGAACGATGTAGATGGAAGTTTGCTGATTTTCAGAAAACCCTACGCCAAAGAGGGCTCACTCGACCTCTCACAGGATCAGAAGATGTGAGCGACTTCACTTCTCTTTGATTGATATTATTGTATCCAGGGTGGTGATCATTTCATGTAGTTTTGCTGATGTGTGATAACTCAAAATAATACCATCGAGAGAATGTCACTTACCTTGATGGATGAATCAATTTACTTAATACTCTCTAATTTTTCGCAAAAAGCACTGTACCAAAGCTTTTTATCAGCGAGGGATTGTGTTTTGTAATTACTTTTTGTCTAATTGCGTGTTTTTCTTTGCAGATGAGGAACGGTTGGAGCTACCCTCCTCTTAACGACACTTTCGAGGCAGCAAATCGAGTTCGTGGTGCCCTGGCAGAACGTGGTTGGAGCCTACATTAGAGATGGCAATCGTTGTATTTCACAGAAAATTTTGCAATTTTAGGTTTTTAGGATTGACATTGTGAAGTTATTTTGATGATATTTCAACAATCGTCGTGTAAGGAAACGTCAATGACGCAGCATTGAGAGTTAATTCTGAATATAAAATTCATGCATAGTTCGATATTCAACGTATATAGCATTGCTTTGCAGCAGACATCCTTTTAAGTACCTTACGTGGCAGATAAACGCATTCAAGTACTATTACTATGGCGATTTCAGGTTATTATGTATCTTATTGTCACTAGTTTTGTAGATCCTTTCTTCATCATATTATATCCAGTATCCTTTGTGAATGTAAGACGAAGGGTGCCCATCCACGCTGAAGGTGGATGAAAAGTTTCATTCCACAATCCGTTTTGAATAGCTTTGAATTTTTTACCCCCCCCCCCCCCCCTGTAGGGTGTGCATTGCGCAACTTTTAACTTTATATTACAAATGACGAAGCAGGTTGTGAGGAGACCTCCGATTGATATGGAAGTGCCCAGCTCGACAAATTTCCTCGCTGCCAAAGTGAGCAATTCTTGCCTATTGTTACGAAGGTTAGTAACTTGGTCCTAATGTGCCCTGTATCGTCCAGAATTCAAATAACCGCTATCGAAAGAGTCTCACGTAATCGATGAGTTCCCCACCTAGCGAATGGAATCCTGCTAATGAAGGTAACTGGCAGGAGGTGGAGCTCATCTATAGCTTCCTTGATGGTCCTGCAGTCAGCGAGAACTTCATTAGCAACGGTGATGGCAAGTTTAGAGTTCATCTTTTCAGGTAAATTCATGGATGGAACACAATTAAGATTAAATTAAGATCCACTCAAGCTTTGAGCTGATGAATCGATTATTCCGTCAGGAGTGACAACGAATAAAATGAAAATCGGACTAACATACCTTGGGTGGAGTTTTGGATGGTATATTGCAACCTTGTTACGATAGTGGGATTACGGAAAGACCGCCAAGTTGACTGCAGCAGGCCAAACACTTCGTCATCATCTTCCCTCCCATAGCGCAAATAGTAGCTCCCTTGCAGCGCCCAGAAAGCCCAGTCTATGTCTCCCCTCTCCAGGTAATCGATCACGCAGTCCAGAAACCGATTCTCTGCAAAGTTAGTGGATTCCAGGTTTATGCCGAACTCCGAGACAATTACCGGCGTGCCCTGCTCAAGGAGGAAGCCATTATCGAGGTTCACGTTTCTCTGGGTGTTGGAGCATGCGCTTGGATCGCTGGCATTGTAGAAGTTGCTGCCTCGTGCTAGACGCGACCATGAATACCAGTGAAACTCGTACACAAGCTTGTTAGGGAACCGAGAGGTATCGAGATGGTTGTCGTTGTTGTTCAGGAAGCTCAGATCCGTTGCGAAGCTCAACCCCCCGGCAATTATCAGTACGTCCGGGTTCACGTCGTGGACCGCTTCTGCCGCCTGCGCCATTAGCACTCGCCAGTCTATGGCATTCTGGCGCGGTCCCCTCAGCGCGTTCCGTAAGCTCATCGCCACCACGAATGGATTGCTGCTGAACGTGGTTGCGACTGTGGTAAGGCCCAGCATCCATGTCTCCACGTCGAAGTACTCGTCTCCCCAGAAGCCGTTGCCATCGGTATCCGAGCAGCACCATTTGGGTTTACTCACATGGTTGTCTAAAATCACCATCAGATCGTGAGCCGTCAGGATGTTCACCATGCGGCGGTGAACCTGCCGCAACGTTAGCAAGTAAAGGTCGGGATTCAATGCTGCGATTGCTAGCCCAGTGGACGTGAGGTTGAGATTGTTAAAGTTTTGCGCTACAGTCAGTTCTCCGTAGGAATCGTTTGTCCAGAGCCACGTAGAGTATGTCAACCTCACGCAGTTGAAGCCGTTCACTCTGATAAGGGTGGCAATTCCGCGAGCTGTGTTCCTGCTTAGACCCTCCGGGATTCCGGCTTCCAAGTGCCCCGCCCAATTGACGCAGGAGAACTTCACTCGCACTCCGAAGCGGTCGACAACCCATCGTGAAAAGGTTGACAGGGGAGGTCTAGGGTTCCTGGTAGCCCCTGCGATCGCAACAACCTGCAACAGGAGCAACAAGAGCTTCAATGCTGGAGCGTTTGACGTCGACTTGACTATCACGGAGCTGCAGGAGCTCCTGAAAGGCCACGCCATTTTCTGTGGCCTACTTCACATGAGTAATCCTTCACAATAATCTATCTATGTGAGCTAAGTACTAAAACTCCCTTACATACTTGGCACACTTATATGCGTGAAGAACGTTTCTGAGTCATTCGGCGCTGAAATCAGGTCAGTGCCAGGGGTTTGCGGAGCCCCATGCTATTTGTGTGCTTCACCTTCCTTGTCCAGTTTACACTGGGTTCAATTGTGTAACAATGTCAAATCTTCACGTGTTATTAGATTCTCGCCATATCTCCCACACAGAGCCTGCATGCCGTCTTGCAATGATAGGCGGAAGACCAGTTTGCAATATTCAGAAACTTATTAATCTGTGCAATTCACAGAGAGTGCAACCTCGGTTCTATGAGAGCACCCCAGTTTGTAATCAGCGGTCATCTAGTCAATACATCACACGGATCTATCCACACATGACCGACTGAAGCATCGTGAATCTCCATGAGCTTACATGAGCCAATTTCCCTTTTAATACTGTATCTTAGAATTGTTTTCAGAGTCCAAGGAAAATCAGTTGAAAGGTTCATTCTACTTGACAGTTATGTCAATGTGGATTGAATCCCACTTGTAGCAAGGTACTGTACATATAGGGAGTTGTTAAAGCCACATCCCAATGTTGTTTAGGCCACACCCCTAAACCATGTGATGATTAATTTTGGACGACATGGAACAAGAGATGGAGACTAGAATGGACAAGATCAATCATGAGATGGTAATAGGAGGTGTGGCTTTAACAGTATTAATAATTCCAGAAGAGGAATCTGGATGGCTTGAAATGTGGGCAGGATGTTCTCAGGTGAAATCATGAGAGAATGACTCTACAACTTCTGAAAAGTAAAAGTTTAAAAAAACTGCTGGGTTTGAGGCGTTGAAGTTACATATGAATTCAACTTGGTATAAAAACGACCTATTTTAAAGAACTATAAAACCTAATAAACAAACTTTTGAAAGATAGTTGTAAAAACACAACATGGTTAATTGTAACAAGCCTTTGAAATTGCAAGTCAAATAAGGTTTAAATTTGGTCAGCAATAATTCTACACTACTGGAGGATGACAGGTTGAATCAAGGAGTCCTAAACTTTTTCCAACAAGGTTTGTTGTTTCAACTTTGGCTGTAAAATTTCAACCATGCTTGGAGGAATTGTACTCAGAGTTCTTTTCCGCTGAGTGTCAAGAATAAATTACATGAATCTACATTACGTTCAGATGCTTTAGATAATGTATAATACTTTATATAAATAAAAATTAAATGTTAGAAAAATTAGTCTTGCTAGACTAACAAATTCTAAAAGACACAGAATTATTGCATACTTATAAAACGTTAATATATCTTTAATGAAACTCATATTAGATATTACAATTAATAACCAAAAATCTATTAACAGAACATGTTATTTTAAAAAACGTACATATTTCAATTTAAATAACATTACATCATACTCAATATGTTTATACATTGTTAATTGTTATGTCAAAGTCATTTTCAGAATGCTTTACCAGATTCTTATTTCAAAAATTAAAATTAATATTTAAAATATAGTTTATTAGTATGAGTTTTTTAATAAGAATTCAATGAACTGTATATTTTTGTATATGTATACATATATGAGAAAGAAATAAAAATTAGAAAACCATGTTTTCAGATTTAAGATTTCAATAATTCTTGTTTAAATTAAATTAAAAAATCTTACTATTTTACACTATAATTCTAAATCTAGTAGATGGTTATTTTAGCTTTTTAATATTGATATTATAATTGATTTTAATATATATATATATATATATATATATTCTCTTAAAAAAATTAAAAATATATTAATAATAAATATTATTATTGCAAGTGATTAGTAATTTTGTCAAAATTGTCATGTAGATTATGAATAATAAAAAATATCCGATATACTAGCATTTTTTTTAGATACAAAATAAACACCAGTGAAATCAAATTCATTCATTCGTCTAATAAAATGTTAGTATATAAAATAGAATTTTCTTGTATTCTTTTTCATGTGGATGAAGTGTTTTTGCAATCACAAGTCGTAAAGTGATATATTAAATTTATTATAAAAGGTTATTGTGAGATTGCTTGCATCTTCTCTTTTTTTCATAAAATTTCATTCATTGTAATTAGAAATGTCTTTCATAAAAAGCTTGAAATATAAATCTTGTATTATGTAGCTTTGGTGCTGGATAACTAAAACAGTGAGCATGTGATTTCCAATATAAAGAAATTAAAATGATCCAAAAATAGAAATAATAATTTAAAAATCAACTATCATTTTGAAGCATCTCAAAAAAATCAGAGTAGAAGATATTTATTGATTTAAATTAATATAATATATATTTGGAGCTTTTTTTAGTTATTTTTAGTGCATTTTTCTCACAAAAATTTTAAAAAATCCTTGAAGAAGCATTTTGGTTCGAAATTTGAATGCAGTTAGTTGATTAGGTAAAAAACTCTCAATGAATTAAATTTATATAGACTTAGTTTAACTTAATTTAATTTTTTAGATTAAATGCAATTGCACCATTCGATGAAAATGGAGCTGGAATATGTTGTATGATAATCTTAGAATATTCCAGCTCCATTTTGTATCTTTTAAAAAAACCAGAATCACATACAATAAAATTAATACATTTATTAATTTCGTGATAGATAGTTATATTGGGATGAAGTTAAATTGCCCAACAACTTGAGTTTTTTACACTCAAATTTTCATGGTTTGAGGAGATGTTGACAGTTTGATTCTCTATGTTTTGAAAAAACACTTTCTTTGGATACAATAATCCAAATAAAAATTTATATAATATCTTTAAATTCTGAAGTATTACAATGTTTTTCTCTTCAAAATCAAAAGATTATTGATAGAAAAATAGAAAAGCTTTTTCATTGTGTCAATTCAATTTTCCCTCTGCAACTAATCTCTGCATGATTCCACTTTAGACTTCAAACCATTCATTTCTGCCACAATAAAAAAAAAAAAAAAAATATATATATATATATATATATGTTTTGTCAAATATTTAGATGAGGATCCGGGCTGGCAGTTGCTTGTCCATCCATCTCGTCTAGTTTCATCCTCAGCAACTTTTCGGGGGTGCACTTTACGAGGGGGGAGGAGAGAGGGGTTTGATTTCCTCCTGCAAGCTTCAGCAATCGCAACCGAGCAGGGGGGAGAGGGCTTTTGCTGCTCTCTATCTATCTTGTGCATTTCTTCATGCTGCACTCTCCTCGCTCCTCCCTTATGCCGCATTCCTCTTCCCTGTCATTGCCGCGGCGCTGTTTTTACTGCCTCTGTCAGGCGCATTTGCGGAGGCAATTCGGTTGTGTGTGGTCGCGGAGGCTGTGATTTGGACGGATTTGGTCAGGATTGAGGGAGAATAGGGCGGTGGAGTTTTGTGGCTTAGCACGCTGTGTAGAGTGTTGGCGTGGTTGACATGCGGAGGATATGGATGGGAGGAGGAGAGGCCGAGGCTGTGGACATGCTGCGATGAGTGGCTGAGTGTGTTCAGCTGCTTTGGCTGAGCGTTTTCGCTACCTTTTATTTAGTGTTGAATGTAGTGTAGTACCTCCTGCAGTTCGGCGGTATTTCTTTATTATTTTTCTCATTTTTTCCAGAAGTTCATTACTCCAGTTTCCTCAGATTTGTAACAGGAGGACTATTCCTTCATTCAGCTTGAATTTGCCGCGTATCAACGGGTAGCTATGAGCGTGCGGAGGGGTCTGGTAGCTTGAACGGAGAAGCGACTGTCCTCAGGCTCGTCAGCATGGCTTCGTCGTACCGGAGTCTGCTGGCGACAGTGAAGGCAGAGCTTGTTGTAGCGAAGGGAGCTTCTCATAGCCGAATTGAGCTCTTTCACGCTCTAGACAAGTATCTGCCTGATTTCCAAGCATTTCTTATATTTCCTGTGAGTCATCTATTTCCAGATTCATTTCGTTCGCCTTTGATGTACGTATCACCTCCTTATCCATGATATGGAATTTCAGTTCACTGTATGTGGCTTGAACGCCAATATCAGTGTGGAGTCCGTAATTAGCTGCGAAATTCAATGGCATTGTGGTGGTTGCAAGGGCGAATTACACCAACGTGTGCACGCAGCTTCCTTTGTTGAATTTCGCAGCTAATTAAGGATTCTACACAGCTTGGCGTTTGTATTGTTATACAGTCGAATAATTTATTGCACCTCGTAACCTATGGTCCAACTGTTTAAGAAATATTTGCGCTGGTATGGATACTTGCGGTATCTAATGTATGTTGAATCTCGGTAGTAAGGCGATTTAGTTACTTTCGGTGATGTGATCAAGACTGTCGGAGTTCCTTAATCTGTTTTGGAGCTAATCGTCTTGATGCAAACTTGCGGCCTAATCAGCAGCAACAATCAAGCGACTTTCTTGTGTGCAATTTGTAAAGCTTACATCCGAATGCTCTACATACTGCTGTCTTTATTCGTTTGTGATTCTCATGTCTTTATCTTTTTGAGCGATCGCACTTTCGTACTGGCAGGGTCCTAGAGCAGAGGATAGAACGCAAGTTGTGAACTCACCATCGAATTTACTTGAGAAACAAGATATACAGCTTGTGAGCCCTCTCAGACGCCTTTATAACTACAAACTGTAATGTTACCTGTGTCGAATTTTCTTGTAATTTTTGTTTATTTACTGTCTGCTCGTTTTAACTTGAGGACGTACTTTGTTCGTTTTTATACTATTATTTTAATTCTAGTATATAAATGACGAAGACAATGTTTTGGTGTGCGCTTCTTTCTTCAACTAAGATAGCTAATGCATATTCAATAGATTCGCTTTATGTTTTCAGTGGTTTCTTGTTCTGTAAGAAGCTATTCATTCTCCCTCTTTTGAACCTTGTTCTTGGTTTGATGCGTTGTGTTATAGGCGTTGATGCTGAGCGATGATTTTAATCTAAATGAGGCATATTGTGCGGGCTTGGTTATCTCTGGACATGAGCAGGTGACAGATATTTCTTGAAATTGTAAACAAATATGTTGTAATCCTATTTTCGTTCTAAATGCAGAGTTTCTGTTGTGGTGTTGAGCACCGTCTCTTATTTTTCTTGGTTCATCAGGGGTTCCTAAATTATGAGCATTTTATGGTTCTTGTATTTACCAGGAAAGTACAAGATTATCTATAGCAGTGAGGTTCCTTTTTAATCTTGCCTTTTGATGTTGTGAAGAAGATTGTGTCGAGCCTATGGGTGCTCCATGCTTTACACATCCAAGTAAATTTTCGTCGTAAAGGTTTCTAAAAAGGCAAGATCAACTTGTCAATAATAGCTGCAAGTAACTCTAGAAGTCTGTACAATGTGGATTATTAACTTTTTTCGTTTTTTGTTTCTAGAGGAACCGGAACGGTTGGGGACGCCAAGAGATGATGCAGATAGCAGCTGGACTTTGGTTCACTGAACGAGAATCTTTGATCAAATCTTTGCAGCTTCTGCTTCACGTGAGTCCACTTTCTAACCCACTGACAATGTGGTGGTGACGAATAACAATTTTAGTTTGGCCATGTAGTTGTTATAATTGTTCGTGATGAGGTTTATGCTTTATCATTTATATTTTGTTTTGAATAGTTTTGTGTACTTTGTCGTAGTTTGTTGCACTTGCCCCCTTCATGGCCAAGCAGTCGTTAATTTTAAAACATTGTCTTGTCTCAGGTCGTGGCTCTAAACAAGGAGTTGGATTCGGATTTTGTCGGAAAAATTCGACAGTACCTTGAGAAGCTTCTGAATGCAGGAATTCGGACAAGAATAATGAGCTTAATAAAGGTATACTTTTTTTTTTGTTTCTGATGTTACCTTAAGGGTAGTTTTACTGAAATTTTTGTCACATGTTATGGCAACCTCACAGTATTGATACGACCTTCAGAATTCCCTTGATTCATAACCCGAAACAACTGCGTAGAGTGGTGTTGGAAGCATTCCGTATGTATGTTGTGTTCAGAATGTTACCTTATGATGGTAATCTTTAATTAATCTTCTCTATATGTCTACTTTTCTTAGAATCTGAAGCTTTTTAGATTGTAAATGTATTGCTCTCCAGTTATAGTATGTTTGTGATTAACTTGTTAAGCATGATAAGTTCCTGACAATGTGAATACTTTTTTTCAAAAAGACTTGATTTTTTATGGTGAAAAATCTTTTTCCACTGTTGAAAGCTTTCATATCTCAAGGAATGCTTTGCATACGTTCGCTTGTTATTCTGTTGCTTGACTGTATGTTGATTTATATACTCATTACAGGAATTGAATGAAGAAGAATCTACTAGATTAATGGATCAGAGTATGGATCAGAGTCTCCAACATTATATCAAAGACTCATCCGGAGTTCTAGTAGAACGCTGTGCTGCAATTCAAAAATTACGTCTTAGTCTGTGCGATTGCTTATATCTTAGTTGTCTCATTACTCCCCTAGGTATATCTCTATCCAACTAGCCCTTCTTTGTTTTTTTCATGATTTTATGAATGTAAAGTACGACTTTATGTTATCTTTCCATTGTATATTTATTGGATATGTTGAGCGAAAATTGGCCCTATGTCAGATGGTCATATTGTATATTAATTAGTATGTGCCTGAAGCTTTTTTACGAAACTTGAAATGTAGATGCGGCAGAGGTTAAGTACCTATATAATCTGCTGAAGGTCTGCTCTGCTGATGGGAGTCTGCTTCATGATGTCGTCAAATTACGGGTGAGTTTTAAAGAGGAATTCAGTGCCTACGTTGAGCATAGGTTTGTTTGATTTATTCACACTGATAATTTTTTGTTATGTGGATTTCAGATTACGTATACTATCATGTTCTCGCTTACCAATGCAATAGTTTTAGGAGCAGAGGGTTGTGAACATAGAGGCCTTGTGCTTGCTCTTGATGCGAATTCCCGTGAGGAGTTTCAACAGCTGGTCAGTCTCGTTGCTTTACATTATACCCTTGCTTTCATGATGATGTAGGCATGCCTGACATTCAGGCTGTAGTATCTCAAACCTTACAAGTGAGGAGGCTTGAGTATATTAGACTTTGAGTCTCTAGTCCACTGAATATAAAGTGACTCAGTTTCGTGACTTTGGGTTTGAGCAACATTAAGTTTGCTAAGGTTTTATGGAAAGAATGATAGGTTCACACAGAAATATATATAATTTCGTCTCAAAATCGGATACAAAAACTAATAAAAACTTACGATTAAACCCAGTAATCCATGCCTGTAATCCACATTATTTTAGAAGAATCTGCCTAATTTTATGAGGTAGTCTTAGTGTGATTGACATCTGCAGATGCTAGACGAAGCAGAAGTAAATTCTGTGACGGAGGGCTTCACGGGATTAATTCGATTAGCTTGGGTTACTATTGGAACGCTTACCAAGCAAACTCCAGACGTCACTGCTGTTAAGGCTACTGTTGAAGATGATAGTATTCTATACCTATGCTTGAATCGAGCTTGTGATCGTGATGTGTTTGGATTTCTGAATACCCACATCTTTGAGACAGCTGCATTTCAGGTCTTCTTGAGTTCCTCCTGTTTGATTTTTCATCTAGCTTTCTCACAAAACGCTTCTTGCTGTATCTTTAGAAAAGCAAAAAGAGATCTAACTGTATGAATATATTGTCATGTTTATTCAAATTGTTTTCTGCGGTATCCAGATAGTTTGCCAAATTACACCTCTACTCAGATGTCGCAAGTTATAGGCTGTATTGTGTAGTTCTAAGAATGCGGGTCAATCATTAAGTTTTTTTCCATTCATATGAGCAGAATGATGAAAAAGCGTCAGCTTTCAAATTCACGACTGGTTTGTGTAAACTTGTAATGGGCCTTCTCTCACTTCCAGCAGGCCGTCAAAAGGTCAGTTGGACATTTCCGTTTTTCTTTTTTATTCTGGTTTGATGTTTGCCCGCAAATGTTTGTAGCATTGTATGAAAAATGTTTCATTCTGGATTTAGTCAGGTGTTCTGTTTCCTTGGTTTCTTATTTGGTGCATCACTGGTTTTCATGCTTGGATTTTTACGTTGGTGAGCTTCGATGGTGATTACTACGACTTTACTGGTGATGAATTCTTCCTGCAGATCATGGAATTTAAGTACACAAGTATGATGGCTCTGGATATTAAAACAACTCATTTGAAAGACTCTCCTCAATGCAGTAAAAGCCAAGCTCAAATTCAGGCTGTGAAGTGTCAAGCTCAGCCGCTCGTTTCTTTTTTACATTTTGTCAGGGAGATTTTCCAGGTATGGGTGTGGCTCTGAACTAGTTGGGAAGTTGATTCTGGTTGAAGTGTCGACAAACTCTATAGCAAGAAGCTGTTTGTAAGTGTTACAAACTCTGGAGAAGATGACGCTTTGTGTGATGAACAGAACTTCATCATAGTTTCTGCCTACCTTTTTTCATCGCAGGCTCAATCCATTCGAAACACGTGCAACATAATGATCTTTTGACAATTACTCACCTGTGCACATTGTAGTGGTATTCTAATGATGCCCGCTTAGCAATCTAGATCTACCAGGTTTAGCAATTTGTGCTTACAGGTATTCGTGGATCATTGCAATTCCAAATTTATAATTCAGTGTTATCCATCCATCATAATTAGAATTGCACGGGGTGCATCTTTCAATTCATCAGTTCTTTTCTCCTCTTACTGCCTTCTTATCCGCCGGGAGTTAAGTCAACCCTTTTATCGAGGAAAACACTAATGTTCTTACGTTTTCTGTGTATTTCAGCGCTTTCTATTTCTTTTATTGTAGCCTTCTCAACATATTGTCAGGCAATAAATCAATGATTGCGTGTTTTTACTTATCGACTTTTCGTTGAGTGTATGACACAGAGAGAGCCTGAACTCGTCCTCGACAACAATGATCTTTGGAGTTTTGTTCATTTTGCAGGAGAATGCCATTCAAGCTACTTCACTTTAGTAGCTTTTCTTGATATGCTCACAGCATTGGTAAGGGATTGAGGAATGAATAAAAGCATGTTTGCGAAAAGGTTATTTTCATTTATTGAATACAAGTTTAGAACGATATTCGTAGGTCATACATTTGTCAATTTCAGATTTGCAGTGGTTTCGTAGCGGTTATTACTTTTTAAAGAATGGGATTGAGCGAAAAGTTTTGGATGCACATGCAGGCTGAGTGCAAAGAAGGAGCGGGGAAAGTTTATGACCTGCTTCAAAAGGCAACCATCTCTAATCTTGGATGGCAAAACCTTTCTACTTCGTTAGTTTTCTACGATCAACAACTTCGATTATGTGTGGATACTCCAAAGGGTTTGCTTCCACCCTTCACGGAAGGAGATGCCCGTATTGTGGAGGCTTATCTTAAAGTTATGAAAAAGGTGTGCGCAATATGCCTACTTTGTAGCTTTATAAAAATAAGTGTATTGCATTTGTCTTTGCATCGTGTGATGTTCAAATATGTTCATATCTTAGCTCGAGTCTATATACTTATTCGACATTTTTAATGAACATAGAGGATGTTTTAGGTGATTGAGAAAGGCGATGTATTGGAAAGAATGCAATGGTTCGAGGACATTGAGCCACTCTTCAAACTGTTATCTTGTCAGAAGGTTCCTCCGTTCTTAAAGGTGAGGTTCTTTTTAACTTTGACGCCGAATTTGTTAATTGATCTGTTCTAGAGATATCCTGATGTTATAGTTGGGTTGAAATCGAATATTAAGTTATTTGCGCACTTCCTGTGTCGATTGTTTGATCGCTGAAGATAATGATTTGATTTACTTTGTAGGGTTGAAGTTTCTCACTTAGATATTCATTTTTCAGGGGGCATTGCGAAATGCGATAGCAGCCTGTGCTTGTGTATCTCCTGTCATGAAACAGAAAGTGTATGAACTATTCCACCTGTATGATTTGCCAGTTTTAGTCACACTTCTTCCGACTGACCGCTGTGGTCAGCTCTCGTCAAAGCAGGTACAGCTATTCGTGTGGTTGTAGTGACATTTGGCTATGCTCTTTTCCTTTTCCGTCTTCATATTGTTCACGGTGCTGTCACCATCGCATGGATCAATATTGTTGTACCAGTTTCATGGCGGCTTATTGCTAAGAGTCAAGCTACAGGGTGCTTTCTCTGGTTGTCAGTGAAGATTGGTCGTCAACCTTCCGATTTACTGAATTCATTCTATTTATTGAATACAGGTCTTTGACTTGACCTACGAGCTCAATGAGGTGGAGGCCAGGCAGAGGGAATATCCTTCTACTATTTCATATATGAAGCTGCGTAATGTTCTCATTCCTCATGAGCTAGATGCGAGGGACACTAGGTACGTACTTGTCATTATGCAACTAATTTCCTATCCCATGATTTAATGCATATTGGTCACAACTTAGGAGTTCCTATCTATCCGTAAGTTTTGCAAGAAAAAACCTCGTATCAACCACGCTGTTGCATCTGTTCAGAAATGGTTCGTATTGGTTAGTGGACTTTAGGTTAGCTTTTATCTTATGCCTTGACCATATTTAGAAATTTAACCATGATTATCAGGTTCTTCTACCGTTCAATTCCTGCTAAATAAGCATTTGTAATGGTACATATATGTCGTTTTCTTAAGTAACAGTTTTCCTTTGTGGTGTAGATATTCTGAGTTTTATCGATTTGTGCGGGACCAGGTCTTTGGACTTTACAGTCAGAGGTTGTATGCAAATCCTACCGAAAAATGGGAGCTTGTTGTGGCATCCCTACATCTTTTTGAAATGTGAGGGTACATCTCTAACCTCATGCACAATAGGGGCAGTTGGATTGTACGTTAGCGAAGAGGCTGCAGCTTCGATTTTAGAAGTGTATTATCTCATTATCATAATATAATAATGATGAAAAGATTGTCCTTGTCTTAAACCTTTTGCTATTTTTATTGGTGCTTCCTGGATTAAACGTAGGTGACGCATGGCGTATGACCTGTGAATGAATAGGACTGCACGGTGCTATGTGTCTTTTGGATATGAATGGCGAACACTCTGTTGAAGGGTTTTGTTGACGGCAGCTATAGTGGGACACTTATTGTGGCGAATACTTCTTATTTGTTGTTTTCTCATTCTTTGTGTTTTGCAGATTGTTGAATAAGTACGATCCCATAAATGAGGATGTAAGGAACGATGCCGATAATGGTTTTTTATCGGACCGGTCCTTCCGACGAATGTCAACAACTTCAACTGCAGAACATACAAATACGACCCCAGCCATGGAGTTGATGAAGGTATTTTGTCATAATATTAATGCGTGTTCTTCGAAATAGTTGCTGTTTTGACATTTTTTTCTTCATGCTAATTGGCTGTGGCTGTTTCTGAATGTCTTGGTTCTGCAAATGACTTTGGGTTCAACATGCAACGGCATAGAACCTTTGAATTCTATCTCAAGTCTTATGGAGATCTTTTTGCATCAATATGTTTTTCTACCTGTGTGCTAGAGGAGTATCTGAACGCTTTGCTCATTGGTATTTGGCATAGGACCTTAAAAATGGTGAGGTGATCTACAGCAATTTGATGAACATATTAGCGTTAGGTGTGGAATCCTTATTGGATCAGCGCACAAGTCAGCTCTATGGCGCAGTTTTGGAGGAAGCTATTTCCTTATCTTTTCAAATATTCATCCATGCTTTCTTGAAAGAGTCTCAACTTGCAGAAGCTTGCAATCCTTCATTACAGGCACGTATCTATGATGATTTAAGCTCAGGATGTAAGATATGTATTTTAAGAGCACTCTTTTTCTAAATAAGGTTTGATATCTGTTTGAAAGGTTATCATGGCAATACGCTTTGACCTTTATGGTTGTGATTGATTTCAAATCTGCTCTTGTTATTGCTCATTCATTGAATAATAGCTGAAGTTATGCTTCTTTTCATTGCAAATACGTTGGCGATGAAGAATTGTATCCCAATGCTCTCGTACTCATAGAACTTGTTTTATTTATTTATTTTTGACTTTGTCTCGCCTTATGTTTGTGGATGACCAGATGTCTGGGTGGGGGCGTATGTTACAGAAGCCGCTGCACGAAATGTTATTTTATGATTCTCAGCAAGTAGTGACGCTCTTGGAGTATGTGCGATATTTTAAATCGCAACCAATACAACTATACTCTGTGAAAATAATGGGCCTTTTGAGGTATGCTTTTGTGAGCTGATATTTCTGGTGTGCTCGGCATCAAGGTTACTGAGACACAAAAAGTTACAATGCTCTAGATTTTTGATAGCATATAAAGTAATGAGAGATTTGTTAGGAGTTTCTACCTGTGGTAGTGATCGCTTATACGCAGCTTATGTAACTGGTTGACATGCAGTATGAAAATGTTCTGAATTGTAACCATTTTTTGAGATGCAAAGAGCTGCAGCTTTTTCTGTGGACTAGTTCATGAATTCATTTAAAACCTATATTGACTTACTTGGCAGTGCACGAGTACCCACACTGGTGTCTGTATTACGAAAATCACCGGCGTTACTGAATATTATAGAGGCGTATGCGGCATGCCTTGAGGCTCGTATCTTGGAAGCTCATCCGTCCGAAATTCCTGACGAGGACATTGGATTACTTATACTTCAAGTATGGTTACTTTCGCCGTTGTGATTAGATCTTGTGTTTTTGTAGGGGTTCTTGTTGTCAGGTACCAGTACCTGTGTGCCCTTTGTGCTTTGTGTTTCTACTTCGTGCCTTTTTTGGACCTCTGAGCCACTCATCTTGCGCCAGACTGTTCTCTGGATGTTAACATAGTAATGGAATTGTTCTCTTCATTTCTCAATTGAACCTAGGCTTGCAATATTTTGTCCAGGAGTACTGTTTTGTTCATGCTTTCAGGTCATGTGCTGCCATGTACTATTCCCTCTGACAGACGAAAATTATCATTGTGTGCAGCTTCTTCATGCCAATTTGTCTCGACCAGCTCCAAATCTCACTCATTTGCTTTTAGGATTTGACGTCAACGAACCTGTGGAGAAGACAACACTTCAGCCAAACTTTAAATTCAGGTAAATAACGTAACAGTTTAAAGAATTTTGGTGTTAATGAACGTCGGGAAAAAAATTACTCAGCTCTTTGCATGTATTAGTAGATATATGATCTTACATCTGCTTTGTTTTTGCAGCTGCCTTACTGTTATACTTCATACTGTGGATAAACTTGTGAGGCCAGAGGTGGATGCTGGATTGCTTGAACTCTGTTTTCAGGTGTGTCTCGATTAAGAACCTCACTGTCAAACCAACCCTTACCATTAGCTCACAGTTCACTGTGTGGTATTTGTAAGATCATCCTTGGTTGCCCATGGCCTTAGTATACGTAATGCCTTTTATTGGTACGCAGAGTCGCTTATGAAATTCTTTCTATGAATTGTTGGCCTTTATTAATAATTTTCTATCGACAACTGGACACAGTCGGCAAAGTGTGAACAGTGTACCCGTTTGTCTTACTTTATGTGTTAATGTTACAGTTGCTGTATGAGCTTTGTGTGGACCAAATCACTTGTGGTCCTATGGTGGAGCTCCTACGGAATGGGAAGTATGATATTTCGCCAAAGGTTTTTCATTCTCTACTTGTGGATTGTGTATTTGAAAAGACATTTTCTTATGACTTTACGTTGCGCAGTGTTTGTTCCAGGTTGTAGCGTTTAATACTTTTTGAACAGTTAATGTGTCTGAAGTAAGGTTATAAGCTTCTCAATGGGAGTTTTCAATCATCTTTCTTTTATTTTCTCTTATTTTTCTCCCTTGCACCTGCCTGGAGTAGAAGACATCACGTACCAGTCACGATACATGCGTTGAGAGAGAAAATTCTTCTATCTCTGGAACGAATCGGTGCTCTTCTGAAGCTGAGGACATGGACCTTCAAGTATGCGACCTTGAGCCAGTTGCTGGGTCAATGCCAGGACCTTCAAGCATTCCCGAACCCGAAGTAGGATTTTCGAACCCAGAACCTCTGGCCTCTCGGTACACCACCAAAGACAATGGTGGACTATGCGAAGGTATGGCTGTGCTTAGATCGTCGTGGATACAACGGCTTTTCCCTGGAATGATGGGTGAGTATGTAAAGCCCACTCAAGAGAAAGGGAAGGAGAAACATGTTTCTTCTGCATATGAAGATACTGAGCGACTTTTAATAGAGAATGCCTCGAAAACTTCTGAAGTCTTTGGATCGTGTTCAGAGGTTTTGGGTACAAGTCGAGACCAAGCAAGAGAGAGTTTCTGTGATGATGGTACGCCTGGTAGATTCGAGGAAGGCAGCAGCATCGAGCCGGACTACGAGTGCAGCAATAGCTCTCGACCACCACCAGCTGTAGTATCCAAGCAGAGGCCAGCTCCTGCTAGAGTTGATGCAGAGAGTGAATATCGCTGCGAAGTTGGTTCACAGACACCCAGTATTTTGAATTCTGAAAATTCTACCAGATTATTGACTCAGCCGGCTTGTTCTCGGCTCCCCCCTGAATGTTCAACGGAGCAAGTCTTGGCGCTGCGAAATCGCATGGATTGTGCCACCAAGGTGGTACCCTCAATCCTCACAAAATACGAACAAGTAGCAACGATGCAAACCTTTGTGAGACCATTAGAGCTGAAAAGTCACAATGAGGACTATTTACGAACTAGGGGAGCAGGTAATGTCCCATCTGAGCATGAAATGGGGAGGAAATCGCAGGTTTCTTCGATGTATCCGTATAAACTCCCAGCTGATCTGGATACAAAAATTATACTAGAAGAACATTCTTCGCAACGTCATTTATTAAGCACGAGCGACGTAGCTAGAAAGTCTCAAAATAAGGAACGGAATCGATTTGTTCTTAGCAGTGCTGGCACCAACAATAAAACTGCGGTTCAGCCAGAATCGACATCACCCAGATTCAAACAATCGGGATTGCATCTAGGAAACCCAAGACATAGCAGCTACAAGGAATATTCACTAGCAGGCGAAGACGTGGGCTGGGATGAGCCAAGGGTGGATAAGGAGAAAATGGGCAGAAACATCGGACATCAAACACAGCATAGTACAGTCACTGGAAAAATTGTGGACTCATCTCTACTTCCACCCTTGTCCCTTTTTGCTCCTTTCAAGCACAGTAAAGAGCGACGAAGCGCAAAGTCTGAGGGTAAAACTAAAATGGCACCAGGTTTATCAGGAGAGTCTCTCCTGACACCTTTGTTTTCTCCTTGTAGTTACAAAAAGGACAAGAATGACGATCGAGGTGTTGCCGATGTCTGCGAAGACAAGTTTGATTCGGTAATATTTTCTCCTTACAAGCCATTGTCTTCACTTCACAATTCTGCTGGAATTCGTGAATCTGAGGCCTTGACACTGACGCCTGTTTTTGCTCCTTTCAAGACTTTGGAAGAGCAGAAGTGTCCTGCATCTGCGGCTATAACAGAATGTTTGCCTGTAGATCTCATGGAACAAAATGGTGACAATACAGTGGTACAATATCCTGGAGCAAAAACTGACTTGATTTCAGGATCGAATTTTCGACAAGTGGAGCATATGATTCAATCAAACCATCAGTTAGTTGCTCCTGAACGCTCCTCGTCAGTATATTCTAGCTATCCACGGCGACGGGGTGCCAACTATAGAGAAGCTGCTGTACATTCGACGATACCTGGTCCACACTCTCATGAGGAACAGCATCGTGTGGAATCGACATACACTCGTGGATTCCTCGTCAGGGAAGAGCAACGTACAATGAATACCGCTACAATTGACTTATGCAGCAGGAGACCGAGACTTCAGGAAGAAAGAACTGGTTACAGCGATTCATGCCAGGCCGATACGAATGTTTCTATGGTACATTCACATGATGTACAAATGAGTCTCTCACAAGGTACGAGGAAATGCAAGAGGGTCTGGCAGTTTTCTGTCTGGATGCTCGTTTGAATAATTGTCAGGGTGGAGATATTTGTTTGCTTGTGAGTATGTACGCACATTCCAGATTCCTGTTTTTGGTCGATACTTGGTGATCCAAGTGTTTTTTCTGTTTCGTTTCTGGACTTGCTAGCATTTCCACTAGTCTTGGTAACCTCAAAGGTTATTGCGTCTATTTTAACATATTTTCTACCGTCCAGATTCAACGCATTTGTCTTTTTTCCTGGAGTTATATGTTGCTCCTTCTCTTTCTGTACTATGATGTTTATGAGTTCATTCAGTTATCGCAATTTCTAGACTTCGTTGATTGATACCGCCTGGGATAAGTCTTTATACTCATTATGATTTGAAACTCGGGAAAGATACGTTTGGTTGTTCCTAACATGAAATGCTTTTATTTTTTATTCTTCCGAGTTTTGTTATAGACGCGAAATCATGTTTGCACATGATTATTTTAAGAGTATGTGTATGTGTTGCCACCAACAGGGATGCAGGAACTCTTTCAGTTTGATAAAGATTTGCAGGTACGGACTCCTTTTACCATTTGTACATGATACAGATTATTTGAGAAGGGTAGATTTTGCTTTACCAGCCGCTGAAAACAAGTCAATTGTGCACCTATGCGTTATTGTTGTCATCTTTCTCGTTTATCTTGATTGTTAAACTTCATTACTAAATATATTGTTTTGTTTATTTTATGATATCTAATGTTTAATTGAAAATCTAAAACTAAATTAAGTTGTTTTATGTATTTATATGTTTATTCTTAATGTGTGTCTCATTCAGTACTTTGATGTAGCTGAATTGTTACACTAAACTTCTTCTCTTCTCCATGTACTCACAGCAGCAGCAGGTCAACACTGAAGCTGAGGGAATGAGAGAGTTGAGATCCTGTAGTAACCTGGTATGTGAGGCTAGTAGCGGCTCTTCTCCTGTACCATGCGAAAATCACTGTGTACGCTTACCATCCCAGTCTACTGATAAGCACTTAGCATCAACTGGTCCCATCATGCCAGGACCGTCTGCAAAGTATTCCAGTAAAGAAAATTATCACCAGCGTAAAGGCAATTTAGAAGGTAGTGGGGTGCAAGGTGGTTACACATTGAAGAACCCCAGTGCTTTAGTTACAGATGTTGAGAAAGAGCAAAGTCCCGTTGATAAGCAGACACGCGGCGGTGCCACCAAAATCGGTGCTACTGCACAAAGCCCTGATAACTTTCGAAAAAGAGAGTTCGCGGCTAACAGAGAGTATCATGCTTTTAATGAAGGGAAGAATATATCTGGACAATCAGGAAGTGCCAAGTTTTTAGATGCTCAAGGAGACAGATCAGAGAGGTCCTCGAGAAAACGGACTCATGAGGCAAGGACTGGTGCATCACAATCCGCATTTAAAGATTCAGAGACTCCCTCTGTTGTTGTACCCCAAAATGAATTTGGTGTTGAAGAACTTAAAACAACTCCGCGTGCACAGTCGTGGCTACAAAGGTGGATGCCTTCTTCGAAACCCGTGATCCCTGTGTTTGAGGCCTCTCAAGGTTTCTCTTCTCAAATGCCTACGAAGCAGTCTTCATCGCATGCTAAAAACCCTAGGCTTGTACATGACAATACCATACATGGGCAGCGATTGGATGAAGCTGGATCAGCTGTGCTGGAGGAGCACAGACCATCAGCAATGGAAAGGTCTGGCCAGTTGGCTAGATCTAATTTTGAAAACTATCATAGAAGATCCAGTCCCCTTTGCCCAGGATTTTACCCCTTACCAAGTGCGGCAGCTATGGCACTTGTAGGTGCTGCTAGTAGGAGAGCTGCTCCGTTGCCACCTCAAAGATCAGTGCAAACGAGGATATCTGTTTGGCCCGCAATCGCAGGGATACAGTTGCGAAGAACCGAGCTCGGGTCTCCAGGAGTGTTGTCTCCGCAAGTCGAAGTTGATATGGTCGAAGAAGGATGAGCAGTGGATTATGGCGAACGACAAAGTCGTGAATTGTCTGCAGCTTGAGCGTATATTTTAGGAGCTGCAACGTAGTGCTTTGGTAAGTCAGGTGTCAAATCGTGATTCCATGAGCTCTTTGTATACTTCCGTACTAATCATCATGTATTCCAGGTTCGCTCTTGTTCCCAATTGTTGGCACCTGAATTTTTGTTATGAAAAGAGGGCCTCTACTCTGTCGGAAGGTTTTAATGACAAAAATATGTACCTGTTCCTACTGTCAATGGACACTACAGTAAATAAGCATTGGGTAGAAGTGGCAATGGTGTCGTTGCAGCTCACTTTATGCTGTTATAGCTGAAAGCCCTGTTTAAATGCCAACTGATGACGCAACGAACGTAGTAACGATGATCTCTACAAATGAAAGTGGGATGAAACCCTTCTTATTTTACTGCAGCAACTCCCCCTCCCACTCGAGCAGCTGAAAACGGGCTGGTTCGCTTGCCTATGTTATCATCGTTGATGTGTTCTTTAGTGTAATCCTGCTTAAAACAAGTTAGTGACCAGTTTTTCATGCTGTTTCAAATTGCAGGATGTTCAAGAAGCTCATTATACTGTTGAGGAACTCGAGATTAATAGAATTAAAGCTGTTCTGGCCCTGTTCCTTTTCATTTTTGTTCGTCATAGAAAAATTTATGTCCAACCAGTTGGGGGGCCTACGATGAGACGTAAAGGTGCATGGGACATGGATTCTGAGAAGCTGGATACGAACGTATCGTTGTGCCAGAGTTCGTACAGCACTGAAATTATGCTCGCAACCATCTCTTTTGATAGGAACACCTAAATCAGACCACTTAGCGTGCCAGTAAATTTCATGTGAGCTGCACCCAAATCGGGTAGTAGGACGCGACGAATAGCAGGCTGTTGGATACTCCTGGTGCAAGGACGAATCCCTCGGCTCACTGCAGTGTCCACGCCTGCAGTGAGCCGAGGGATCGGATCTGACGTGTCGTCCTATCCAGCCTGGGAGGTATAGTGCTCACACTGATGATCTACCAATACATATGCATATCATGGTGTATAGTTAGGGAAACGTGAAAATTTAGTTTTGTTTTCTTAACTCGTTTTGGTCAGCTTTAGGATTGTTTCTTAATTGGCAACAATGTAGGGCCATAAAAAAGACAAAACAAAGTAAATTGATAAATAAAATGATATAAGTATATGTAAGAGGGAGTTAAGAGTAGATTTTAGTAAAATTTACCTCAAGAAGCCAAGAATTGATATTTGGAGAGGACCAGTTGTCAACCTGGGTTGAAATCAGATCCTAAGGCTCAAAACTTTGCACCTACGGCGACTCTAGGCTTTTTTGGATGATTGAACAATGGGATTTGAGAGTAGACTTGATAGGGTTTCTATGAACATTAGTTTGAGATGATTTGGATTTTTAATAACTTTGTAAGAGCTTTACAAAGTCAAGGTTGTTTTGGATGATTTGGATTTTTGTGAAATAAAATAGGATTGACATTTTGAGCAATTTTTGGAGTTTTATAGGAGATCTACAAGTGAAATTTTGTAGATTGGTGGATATAGTTGTCCTAATGTATGTTGTAAATTTAAGATCAATCAAATGATTAGATCAAAGTGTATAAAAGTTTCTAAGGGTTGAGGTCTCAGAAATTGGAGTTTGAAGATTAGTGAGTATTCTTAAGATCTTTAGTGATTTATTAATTGGATTAAAGTGATTTTTTTTTGTATTGAGACTAGACTTGATTTCCAATAGTTTAAATGAATTTTGGGAGAAAATCAATAGTTCAAATGGAAGATATTGGCACTAGAAGTTCAAAATTTAAATTGGAGTAGGAGGCCGACCAACACCCAAGCAATTTTTAGAATTTTTCTTCTATTTGGTAAGTGCGATTACCTTCAAATTTGTTATATTTTTTTTTAACTAAGATATTGAGAGATGTATAAACTTTTAAGGAAGATCAATAATTTAATCAATAGATATTGGGATTCTAATCTACCTTAGAGTTGATTTGAGTTGATTAGGTTTTGGTTAGGATTTGGTTTAGGATTTAGGATTTGTCTAGGATTTGATTTAAGCTTTAAGATTTAGGATTTGTTTAGGATTTGATTCAGGATTTAGGATTTTTTTAGGCTTTGATTTGGAGTTTAGGATTTGTCTAGGGTTTAGTTTAGGATTTAGGATTTGTCTATAGTTTGATTTACAATTTAGGATTTGACTAGGATTTGATTTAGGATTTAAGATTTATGTAGGATTTGATTTGGAGTTTAGAATTTATTTAGGATTTGATTTAGAATTTAGTTAGGATTATACCTACGATTTAATTAAGATCTATTAAGATTACAATTAGGATTAAAGTAGGACTTGGTTAAGATTTATTTAAGATTTATTTAATATTTCTTTATGATTTTTTCATATTTCTTTTGTAATTTCATTAAGATTTCTTTTGGATTTGATTAAAGTTTAATTATCATTATTAAGATTTAATTGGAGTTTATTTAGGATTCTATTAGAATTGTTAGGATCTTGTTGTTGTAATTTTCTTTCTACTTTCCACAGCCAAAAGTCTAGTGCATTCTCAAACAAGACTTCATATAATATGATATTGCAACGCACAATTAGACCTAGTTTTTAATGCATCATTAGATCTTTGACAAATCATTGTTTCTTTATTCATCTCTTATAAGTTAGTAAAAAAAATACAACATTGATAGTCTAAATGCAAGCTTTAATAAAGTAGTGGTAGAACTATATATTTTTTTAATTCTCTCATTTGAATTTTGTTATTTTTTTACATATACTAATATAATTATCCATTGCTTTGTTTGAAGTCCTTCTATTTATCTTTATTGCATAGTAAAGTTTCTTATTTACAACGTATACTTATATATTATACTTGGCTTTCTAAATCACACTCTTCTCTCTTTTGCTATATCACTAGAGTTTGTTCTACATAGGATTTGTTTTTCTTGTGCTAACTTCATAAAAATTTACAAGTTGTATCTTTTTGGGCATAGTTATGTTTTGGTATTCCAATCCAACACAACCGCAAAAAGAGTTTATTTGCAATGAGATAAAAGATGAGTTTATAAGAAGCAATTGTCAAGCATCCATTAAAATTTATGATAATTGAATGACTATCTTATCTTGTTATATGGTTATTTAAAACAAGATAATAGAAGAGTTGGACCTTGCAAATGAAGTACCTCTATCATAACCATGATGCCTTGTCAAATATGCCAAGCCATCAGTTTGTTACTTGTTTTTCTATCATCAATCTTAAGTTTTTTAAAAAGATAAAGAGTTGTATACGACCTAGGCACATCACATCCCTATATTTTTTTTAGTTAATAACAAGAAATAAATCATTACTAAGAAAGTATACTTTTCAGAATTGCACTTACAAAAATTTAAGTTGAATAAGCATACACGAAAACAAGCGTTAGTAGGTGGCATTCCTACAAGCAATTTTTAATACAAATATAATAAAGACAAATGTATTCTACTTGTTTGTTACCAATTCACAAGCCTTCAAGATTGCTTGGTTTTTTTTTTTTTTTTTTTTTTTTTATATTTTTCATAGATTTGATGTATAAAATAAACAAGCTCAAACTCCCATTCTTTAATATTGTAGAGAATTATATGTCTTTTAAAAACCTTTACAAATTCTTATGCATTTCTTAGTTCTAAGCTTAAGACAATGTCATATTATGTGAAAATTAACCTAAAAATATATTGGGCATTTGATTATGGAAGGATTTAATCTTATCTTGAAGTTGGATTTATAGTCCAAAATCAATGCATAAGGTGTTTAGAAACATCTTCTTTGTAATCTTCAATAACCTAAACAAGCTTCCAATTATACTAAGTATCTCTTATTAACCTTAGAAAAAGATTTTTCTAAGATTTTTAATTGATAAGATTTAAAATTTATTTTTTATATATATATTTTTATAATTTTTAATCTAATACTTGAAAACAAGTATACAAAAATCAATAAGTAATTTTAATGATTTTTGTATATTGAAAAAATTTCAAAATATAAATTCTTTTTATTCTAAAAAAATTAGAGTTACCTCAAAACAACCTTAATTTTGCAAAGTTTCTAAAAAGTCATTACAAATTTAAATAACCTAAAATCAATATTAAAAGAAGTCTATTTTAGTTGACTCCTACAAACTATTCTCCAATCAATAAAATAATCTTATAACTACTGTAGGTACATAGTTTTGTGCCTTGGAATTTAATTTCAATCTAATTTCATAATTGATCCTTTTTAAGTATCAACATTTATATTAAGGATATTTATATTAGAAGCTATTTTTTGCTTCTATAAAAATATCTATGATAATAGTTTTATAAACCTATTATTATAAATATATATATATATATATATATTATAATTATTATCTAAATAATATAAATAAATAGAAGTAGGTAAAAATAGATTAATTTTATAGTAACTTATAGAAAAGCTTTTTAAAAGCTTCTTAAAAGCTTCATAGATATTTTTTTGAGTTTATATATGTTTATAGTTGATTGATAGGTTAAAAATTTGGTCAAAAAATTAATCATGTCCTATACATGTTAATAGCTTACAGAAAAAGCTAATTATATGGCATCCATATAAAAAACTTGCCTTGCAAGTTAAGATATGTCTCATGCAAAGTCAACATTTTTTGAAGGTCTTATAAAATATCGTCACATAGTTCTTAGGTAGGTAGTATATATAGAGGTAAGAATAAAGCTTTTTTCACTCTTGTCAATTCTTTTTTTGCTTCTAGTCTAATTTCAAGAAGTCTCTAGTTTTTTTGTCTTTTGGCAATAGCCATTCTAATTTTGTTTTAATATACATACTTCTTTACTTCTATTTTGTCATAATTTTTTGAAAAAATAACACTTATTTATTTACTTTCATCAAGTTCTTTTTCTAAATAGATTGACAAAAATACACTTATAATATTAGATTTTTTTTATAAAAAAAATTAAAAATAGATTATTTATTTTTTTATAAAAAATAAGCATATTAGAAGTTGTAGAGTATCCTCTTCTAAATTGATATTATTTTTAATATTTTTTTTTATTTATCTTAAGTAATATTAGACATCTCTTTTTCTCTAAGTATTATTATGGTAGAGCTTCTTGAAATGAAGAATGTAATAGTAAAAATGCAAGAAAAATTAAAAGAGTTAATCCTTGCAATGCTTCAATTCAATTTACCACCACAAGGAGAAACAAGAATGATAGAAAGTGAAAATATAGAAATGATTGGAGTTGCTTCAATATTTGTATCAAATCACGTCCTTTCTCCTATGATAGAATACCATTCAAGTACTAAAAAACTAAGAATTTTTTTACTTGAGAAATTTGGTGGTACAAGATCAAACTTTCAAAGATTCATCAATCAAGTATAATTAGCAATTGAACTTCAAGTCCAAAGTTATCCAACTCCAAGATCATAAGTCAGGTTTATTAGAATATTACTTTTTAGATTTCTATTATCATGGTTTTTATCTTTTTTTGAACAACATGATTCAATATTGGATATTTACAAGCTTTCTTATCAAATTTTTGATATACATATAGAAATTATGATGAAATTTGTGTTGCAACAAATAAAATCCATATTTTGTAACAAAAAAATTATTCTGTAATATTATATGCTTCATAATTTTGATAACTTATAATTGATATCAAGTAGAATGATGTTGCACTTATTAATCAATTTTTTTATAAATTATAATATGAAGTAAAAAAATTGATGTCTAATTTATTTGATCCTCAAGCAGTGAGTCAAACAATTGATTTTGTTATAAAGTGTGACAATTGAGTTTTTAAATTTTGATCTAAGAATTATATAAGTAGGCCTCAACATTATTACAATTCAATGGCAACACTAACATCTTTTCAGCACATATCTTTGAAAATAAAGGATATACAAATTGATGTAGTAACTTTCAAACTTCTTACTAAATAAAAAAAGACTTGTTGTTATGAAAAAGGATTATATTTATATTGTGGAAAATCAAAGCACACTATTCAATATTATTCAAAAAAGTAATGCAATCATAAATTAAGAAGTGTGATTGTAAAAGAAGACAATATGTCAAAAAATAAGTTTATCTAAATATAATAGGAATTGTGCAACTAGAACCTTGTACTACATCTAATGAAGGTCATATTCTCTCTTCAAAATTCTTTCTTTATTTTACAATAGATATTAGTTTAGGACCTAAATATTACAAAGTCTTTTTCTTATTAGATTTAGGAGCTTCAACTTATTTTTTAGATGAAGAGTTTGTTAAAAGGTATGATATACCTTTAGTAAAGAAAATGAAACAAGTTCATGTAGAAGTCATAGATAGTCGTCTATTGTCTTTTGGAGATATTGTTCATAAAAATAATTCTTCTAAAAGTAATAATTAATGGTCGTGGTAGCTTTTTGGTATTTAATAATATTAGATTTTTTTCTAATTCAATCATTTTAGGTTTATTATAGTTAAAAAAATACAATCCTTGAATAAATTAGATTTTTTATAGTCTTGATTTTTTTAAAAGTATGACTAAGAGTGTAATTAATCAAATAAAAAGTCACAAATTGATACAATTCTTATTTATAATTTTTGTGTAATTGTAGCATTAAGAAGATGGAGAATCAATAGCGAGCAGATTCAACTCAATAGCCATTATTTGTTGACTTATCGAACAAGATATTTCAATTATCACAATCTTTAAGATGATATAATAGAAATGAAGACCTTTAAGAACAACATGTTCTTCTTCAAATAGATGGCAAGATACATTATGTTTTATATTACAACCTGTGAAGATAGTTTTGATGTTTGGTGATTTTATTGGAGGTAGGAATAGTTCCTGATGGTATTATAAATGTTTTGTTTGAAAGAAGTTCTGAAGGTCTCAAAAATAATCAAATAATAGGGTGGTCTTTTCATCCTAGAATGGAACATTATCAATGGTTGAAACGACCTTTCAACTATCTTTAAAGTAAATAAAGATTAGAATACATGGCAAATACAATTTGTTACATTTTAGAGTTCTTCAGCATGTGATTATTATTTATTATGGAACTCATTCCTATAAGGAGAGATAATTTTACAAACATAAATTTATTTTAATTATTAATTAAATAATATGAATAAGTAGAACTAAGTAAAAATAGATTAATTTCATAATAATTTATAAGAAAGCTTCATCGATACTATTTTAACTTTACATATATTTATAGTTGATTGATAGATTAAAAACTTGATCAATAAGCTAACTATGTGCCACACATGTTAATAGCTTGCAAAACAAGCTAACCAAATGGCGTCCATATAAAAAACTTGCCTTACAAGTTAAGATAGGAGTTATGCAAAGTCGTCACATTTTTGGAGGTCCTTAGGTAGATAGTATATATAGAGGCAAGAGTGAAGCCTTCTTCACTCTTGTCAATTTTTTTCTTGTTTTTAGTCTAGTTTCAAGAATCTCTAGTTTTCTTGTCTTTTGGCAATAGTTATTCCATTTTTTTTTAATATATACACTTCTTTATTTTTATTTTGTCATACTTCTTTCAGAAAGTCTTACTTCTTTATTTGCTTTTATCTAGTTCTTACCCTTGACACCTACCTTATTTTGTCTTGATTATGGTACTACAAAATAATTAGAAGCCATTTATATAAAAATAAATAAAATTAATAATTATTATTTTTTACTAATTCTTATCTATTATCTATATTTTTATTTTTTAATTATATTTTGAAATAAAATATTCTATAATATAATACTTTTATCTCTCTTTTGTTCAATAGCCATGTTACAATAAAATACCATCTTCTTTCTCAAATCTTGATGTCAACCTTCCAATGTTAATAGCTCATTATTTAATTGTTCACTTGTTTTTAAAATTTGTATAAATTTTAGAAAATAATTCAACTATTAGCATATACAAAAATTATTTCAAACTAATTAGCATTATATTACATGCTATTTTGTTTAAAAATACACCAAGCACTTAGCCGTGGAAGGTAAACTTGTATTTTTTACCTAACAAAGAAATTCTAAAGAAATCTTATGTAAAATTTTAAAAATATTAAATAAATTTTAATTAACTTCTAAAGATATTTTAGTTAAAGCCTAAATAAATCTTAGCTAAATCTTAATAAAACATCAAAGATATTTTAATCAAATTTTAAATTAATATTAACCAAACCTTAACAAATTCTAATGAAATCTTAATCAAATCCTAAAAAGTCTAATCAAGCTTTTATAGAAATTTTAAAATCTTTGAATTTTTGAATTTCTTTAAGTTTTCTTTATGATTACTTTTTTTAAAAAAAAATTAAAAAATAGAAAAATTTTAGGATTTCTATAGGATTTCTTTTAATATTCTTTTTGATTTTGTTTGATGTTTTTATAAATTATCTAATGATTCTTTTAGGATTCTTTAAGTTTTTTTAAGATTTGACTATAATTATTAATATTCAATTAAGATTTATTTAGACTTTTATTATGATTTTTAGGTTCTTTCTTAGTTGCAAATATAATTTACCTTCCACAATCAGATGCCTAGCGCATTTCCAAGTTAAGATTTATACAATACAACAATGCTATGCATACTAACTACAACCAAAATCCTCTATATCAAAAGAAGTTGATGAAGCAAGCCATGGTAGAATTACTTATTCAAGAATCAAAATGTATCAGAGTCTTTTTAATGAAAGAGACAAGGGAGAGGCGAATTGAATTGCAGAATAAGCTTTCTATGTCTTCTATAATGAAAAATTTGTCAATATTTGAAATTGTCAACATAAAGGTCAAAGTTGAGCAAAGTTGTGTTATTTGTGGGCTTGACACCAAGCCAAAAATTGTCCCAAGAAATCCACAATACTTCCAATTTCTTAAAGAAGACAAAAAAAAAAAAAAAAAAAAAAAAAAAAAACATTGTACAAGCTTGTTTTTAGAAATAATAGAATCTCTACAGGATGTTTGTAAGAATGGCCATTGTGGGTTTCATTTGCTGGCTGCTGACTTAATAGAGTACATAGATCAAAATTAATAAGATCTGTGATATTATATGACAGTGGAGCTCCGCAAAAACAATGAGCTTTATGTTTTTCATCTAGGTAGGATCAACAAGTCCACCACAACCAAGGTAATTCTCAATTAATTTAATCTAATTGCTAAATGAACAACATTGGTTTTTGCGCTACCTTGCATGAGATCAATGACAACCTTGATTTATTAGAAATTCAGTAATGCCTTAAAAACCAAGTCCAATTGTATATTTTTGTTGGATTGAATTCATTTGATGTTAAGATTTGCATTTTAGTCGGGGACAGAACATGCTAATTGCATCTATAAGATGCAGGAATCTAACATTATATTGAGTGCACTAACCTGATTTTTAACACACAATTGGTTTTATCAAAACTAAGGATGAATTTTCCAGCCTGGTTGGAAGAATTTGATCTCCAACACTTCAAATGCTGCAATGGATAGCAATTTTGGTTTATCAAACTATGTGTGAGTTAATATGGTGGGCAACAAACTGTAGGCTTGAAGCCAACATAGTGCACTAAATTTGTATGGCTTTGTGTGGGTTTTTTAAAAAAATTAGCATGGTATTGTTGCAACACTGCATTTGTAAATTGCACTCTGTTTGGATGAAAGAATAACAAAAGTTGGGTGAGAAAATAGCAAGAGCTTTAAATTTTTAAATTAATTAAATTAAATTAATAGCTTTAAATAATAATAAGCTATTTACCTTTTGTATTAAAATTGATCTAAAAAATGCTGAAAGAATTCAAAATTACCAAAACAAAAAATTCTTTTTAAAATAAAAATATTCCCATAAAATGTAAACAATTAATCCATATATGTGCTAAAAAAATCTAAGCAATAAATAGTAAAGATTATTTGATAATATTTTACCTTTGAAAGTTGAAAATTTAGGTTTTTATTTTGATATAATTTTATGTCAGAAGACGTACATGATTTTTGATAGTAAATTTGGAGTGAGTTCTATGATGAGAATTGACGCTATTTATATTTTATTTTTCCTTCTAATTTTGATATTTTTTGAAACCAGTACAATGCTCTATGTTAAACTTTGATAAAGCCAAGTTACAATATTGAGCACAACAAGGTTTTCATTTCAATGAATATGCATAGCAAATTTAAATCGTACAAAACAACTTACTAATTTTATTAAAAGAGTGTTTACAAACATGCTTAACATTTCATGTTCCACTTTTTTACGAATGTTTGTTTGCTATAATGGTAAAAACTATAACTTTAAAAAATAAAATAAGATGGACCTGTGTGGTAATATTTTGAAAATCCATGTATCCAAAATTCACTAAGAATAAAGCTGAAAGATGGTCCAGTCCAAGTCTTCAGTTCAGGACCTCAAAGGAAAACCTAACATGCACATTCATTAAAAAATAAATAAATAAAGGAGAGCTAGGTTACAAAAGAAAATGTGGAGACATCCCCCTGTTTTGGGGAACTTGGGAGTTTCAATGTTGATGGATTTCTTTTTTCTTTTTTCCTTCTATTATCATTAGTTCATGAATTCATGTTGAGGAATTTTTATATATATATATATATATATATATACGTGAATTTTAATTTGAACTTTCATATTGGAATTCATGTCAAAATCATTATAAAAAAAAATAACTCATTGTGAGTATTTGTAAGTGTCTTCATTGATTGCTCAACAAGATGATGGAAGCGGATGTGCGTCGAAACAACCTGCTCAAGGAAAAGGTCGCAGTGCTTGAATTCAAAATCAATAAGCTCGGTTTGTACCCATCACCCATTTTGATGAATCACATCCACATGATTGCAGAAAACTAATAATAATAACAATAATAATAGTGATATTTTATTAATTGAAAATATGGGGCCCATTGTCACAACAAATATACATAATACTCTTCATAAAATACTTGTCACCTTTAAAACTACATTACATAGGGCAGGACTTGTAGAAGCTGTAGTGAAGTTCATGACCAGTTTTGTTTTCACAAAATTTCAAAATTCTTAGAAAGGCAGGAGGAATCATCAAATCATTTATTTTTCCATGATTAAATAAATAATGGCGTACATGGACCACCTACAATTTAATTGTTTTGCAGGTATTGCTGGAAGAGCATACTATGAGGCCTCCAAAATCAAGCTCCGGAGAAACCGGTATCTCATCCGGGCAGCCCGAACCCAAAACATGTTGTTACATTCAGCTTTGTTTATTCTTGAGCAAAAGGAGATGGTCTCACGGAAGGAGGCGAGCAACTTGATTGGCATCCGGAAGCAAGCTTCAGATCTACGCATCAAATTTGACTCTCTTCGAAAGAAATCCATCACTAACCAAATCCATGTAACAACAATAGTAGATATATTAATAATGATAATGATGTTGAGTATTTCCATGCTCACCACCAAAAATATCTGCTAGAGTTCAATTTCTCCACTTATTCATAAATGTAATTGTGTCTCCTTGCTTCTTTTTTAAAAAGAAGCATTTTACTATTACATCTTTGCTTAAGAAAATAACAAAGGAGAAAGTGGTGAGACAAAGTGCGGTTGGATTTGTGCAGCTTGCAAAGCAAATAACAGATACAAGAGCAACAGAGATACAGTGTGCAGATGTGTTGGATCCCAATACACCTCCATTGATCACCATCCGCTGGCTTGACATTCGCTTGGAGGCCATCTTCCGCAAAACCAAAAACACCCATGTCCTTGAAAAACACTATGAGAGCCTCCTAATCCCCATGCGAGAAGAACATACCCTCTACAACTTTCAGGCAAGCCTTTTCATTCCCATTTTCAATAGTTTCTACTCAAGCTTAATTTCCAAACTAATAATAATAATAATAATAAACTAAACAAAAAAAAAATTAAAAATGTAGTTATCATGTTTTTGAACATATTGGATTGAAAAATGTGTTCTCTGTCTTTGTATGCATGCTTCAGTTAGAAAGTTTGACCAACATCATTGCCCTTAAAAATAACCATATAATGCAATTAAAGATGGTAATGTGTGATGGCATCAAATCACGAGACCAAGCCAAGGCTGAACTTGAGGATGTAGGTAAAAGTCCTTCCCATTGTTCTTTTTTTGCTCCTCAAAATTTTGTATAATCCAGTCTATGTTGTGGCTATCCCTCCATAGTTTAAACTGCTTACCAAAGAATCACCCTGAAGTTATTTCTTTCACTCCTTTGCTCTTTCTGAACATTTTATCCTTAATTTGTCTTCCCACGGTTTGGTGCACTGAGAGATTAGTCAAATTTACAAGCATTTTGGAACCAAATCTTTGTGATTTGAGTATTATGACTCCAGCCATTGTTGACTTTGTCATGTGCAGCTTTTGTCAACTTTATTTCCAGGTGGAAGGCCTGTAAGTTGCCAGTTCTAAGAATCAGTCAATGAACTCTACTGTGATTTGCTAATTGCTATACACAACTAAGTTTGTGGTTCATTTCTGCAATGATTTGATTGAACAAATGAATTCATTTAGGGATACTCATGTATGCTGTTCACTGACATGGTTGGATGGAAAAATTGGGGATTTGTGTATGTGTATATTCACGCAGGTGGGCATGTCCAAGGCAGAGCAAATCAAGCTGAATGGGCTAATAGTGAACTTGAAAGAGGTGATGGAGGTTGACACCATGAGGGCCATGTACCAACAACTCCTCTTCCAACAAAAACAGATCCTATACTTGGAGCAAGTGAAGGCAGAGCTCATTCTGACCTTGCAGAAATTAAGGAATGAGGCTCCTATTCCAGCCACTCACAAAGTTTGTCTGTAACCCACACTCCCACTTCCATGTCACCAAAGACTGTGTATGCATGTACATATATTGACATATAAAGAAAACCACAGACGCAGATGGAGAGAGTGGTTCTACTGGGGTCTACACTTATTTGTCTCCTTTTTTTTAGTTTTCTTTTACTTTTGTTACTTTGTGTGTGTTTCCAATTTGTGCATGTTATCTGGCATGTCAGAGGAGGAGCACATTCCGTCTGGAAGAAGTTGGGGGCATTGCTGCAAGTGTGAAAGAGTCCATGCAGAGGCTCACAGTGCAAACAGCACAGAAGGACACATTCCCACTGGAGCTGTTGGTGGAGGGCACCCACAAGCTCATTAGCTTGATCCACCAACGCACAGCTGACATGGTGAGTGCACCAACAAGGCATCACACAACAAACAAAAAAACCAAAACCAACTCTGAACTTTGATGCTTTAGTGAGGCTTGATGGTTGAGCTCCACCAAAGCCTTGAGTCTGTAAATGAGATTGACCAAAAATTATGTTTAAAAAAGAAGAATCAAGATACTTTTTGTAACATTTAATGGATGAATTGGGTAAATTACAGGAGGAGATGGAGACAAATGCAGTCCCTGAGAAGCTTGTACTTGCAGAAACTGAATCCAAACTAGTGTTCTTGTTGAAGGTCAGTGCCCATATTTCATACCACTGATGAATAATGAATCAGATAAATAGAGAATCATATATATATATATATATATATATATATTTCACACACCAGTGACAAAAAAAAACATCTGAACTAATGTTTCTTCTCATCATACTTAGGCAATCAATCAAATGCAATGCATAAAAAGACATCCACTGGGTTTTAACCAATCATATATGCAGAAGATTGCAATGCTTCTGTGTCATCTTGGATGCATATTATCACATGCAGGACAATTTCATGTTTTGGTGGAAAATGGCATTGAAAATTATACATTTTAGAAGTTCTAATACTGTTACAACATGGAGAGAAATTTACTTTTGCCAGTTGGAGATTTTTGAGTGTGCATAAAAGAAACTTTTAAAATACCAACAAGTTTACATTGAAATGTGTGTGCTGTGCAGGGACTTGACAGGAAAGTAAAATTTCTAGAATCAATGAAGGCAAAACAAATAGCAAAAGCTGTGAAACCATCAACCTCAATGGGTTGATCTTTTCCTTTTATAACTTGGACTACAATCCTTGAAACCTCAATGTTTCCCACTACTGTGTCTTTGTTCCACAAGAAATAGCATTACATGAGTTATTTCTACACATTTTTCAAATATTGCCTGGCAAAGATTCATGTGGTGTATGAAAATAAAGTTACATGTCACTTTGCTATGTAAGGAGTTCAAAAGAATCATGTTGTATGACACAAAATATGGGAGTGGGGTAGTAGATTATTAAAGCAGTATTTTGTTGATTTGCTTAAATGTGTGAAGCCTGGTTTGTATTTACAATTTAACTAAGTTACATGAGTTACAAAAAATTAAAATAAGTACATTAGTTACACACACACACACACACATATATATATATATATATATATATAGTAGTTGAGTTGGCTACATGAAAAAAATCTTTCTATCACAATGTATATGGGTGTAAGCCAATTTCCCACATCATTCTATAAAGCACAATGTTTGCTTATTCTTCTTAAAACACTTTGTGCCAAATGAATAACATTACTAATAAAAAAATAAGATATAAAAAATAAAGATATGGATAAAAAAAAAAATTGAAAATTTTGGGCAGAAAAGACCATAATAATAAAAATAAAAATAAATCCTAAAGAATATATCTGTAGTAAATTGAGTGTGACATTACATAGTATAAAATTTAATAACATTAAATAAAAATAGAAGCTCATCATCTAGCAAACAATTTTTTTTAAAATGATTGATTTCATTTAGAGAAAAATCCAATTAATATTTTTTTTTACTCATGCATTAAATGCTTCGAAAAATTTATGAAATATGCTACAAAGATTGATGAATTTATTGGATTCAATTTTATCACTTAAAAATAATTTTGTTATTTATAAAATATATATAATTATTTTTCATTCTAAATCTCACTTTTATTCAAAAAATATATTTTTGGAATATGATCTCAACAATAAAACCAAAATAAAAGAATGTGATGTATCTCTTGCAAAGTGGACATCACAAATATAATTAGAGTCTAGAAGGCTTGGCTCTTGGTATCAATCTTAGGTGTTGAATCTCTCTTACTTTTTTGATTATCTATTGAGACAATTAATTGAAATGAGAATTTTCTTGGAATAATATCACAACAATAAAATAAAAATAAAAGAACATGATGTGTCTCTTCCAAAGTGGAAAATACAAAATATAGTTAGTGTCTATAAGGTTTAGCTCTTAGTATAAATCTTATATGTTGAATATCTTTCTACTTTTATATGTTAATAAGACACTTAATTAAAGTGAAATTAGTTATTAATTTTGGATGAATTTATAAATCGATACACAAATTAAAAATACATATAATGCCATTAGAATGGATGTATGCACAAACATCACTATCTTTAATATATAAGATAGATAATCTTTTATCACTTAAATACTGAAAAATGTTAAATAATAAGAAGTGAATACTAGGTGAGTATCAATGTTTTATTACAATATTTTTTTTATATATAATGTAGGACGGGTTTGAGTTCTTTTATCCAATTTTTTTTTTGATTGAAAGGGTGTTCAATTACTTTAGAACATAAAAACGGAATTAAGCTTCAGGAATTTGAAGTAGCTGAGAAGAATTGTTTTTCTTTTTTAAACATAAATCTCTGATTGTTCTGCATATATGAACACACATTTATGACACACATTTTCAATCAACTTTTGAAAATTGATTCAAACATATCATTACATATGTATAAATAAATTAATGTTGTTAAATTAGTGTAAAAAGAATGTGGGAAAAAATTGGTGGAGGCCACCAACATAATTAGAACAAGTCTATCACAACATAATTGATTGATAAATAGATGGGTGGATCGATTTGATAGGTTAATCTAATAAAACTCTTAAGAAAAAAATGAAGCAAAGCAGCTTCCAAGGCTCTCAAAACTACACTCCTCAAAACCCTTGTCCATGCTTTTACTTTTACATGAAAAAACATAGCATAAGTTTCAAACTCATGCTTAGAGCACTAACAACTATTATGGAACTACTAACATGTAGACAAGGACGACATTGAAAGAATAACATAGTCAGATTTTCTGATAGTGGCTTGTATCAGAAAACACAAACTATGTTGTGTTTTATTCCTTCACTTGTTTCTTTTGATTTGTATGATATGAAGAGTAAACAAAGGAAATAAACTTGAAAGAGTCAAGGTCAAAAGAGGATTAGAATGCACATTAAGCTGGAGGGACAAGGGGAACCTGAGAGGGTCAGGGCCTTCAGGAATATAGGGCACCAATTCCACAAAAGCTACAGGGGTGTGTTGGCCTGGGGCTTTGTGGAGCTCCAAGGGGCCCTTGTACTGCCTTTCACTTACTCCCACTGTACCTCATGGCCTTGCACCCCTTAATTCTGCAACCCATCCTTGTACTGATCTGCATCAGATGCTGCACCCAGTAATTGAAACCCCATTTCTATCAGTCCTGAACAAGCTCCAGGGTCAGACTCTTTGGATGTTCCACATTGCCACTGCTTGCTAGCTCACAGTGTGTACTTGGTGTGCTTCCAGTAATGCACAGTTTTTTAGACCTTTAAGGGAGCCCTGTACATTTTTCTGAACTCCTCATCCTGAATGTCTTGGAGACCATTACTTTTTAGTGGCGTGCGGACTGCCAAATACAAATGGAAAACTGCATCCATGCTAAATGTTGTCCCATCTAAGCATTAACTCAAGCATCCCTATGAGATACTACAGTTGTAATACTGCCTACATCTCTGACATATCTGAACTCTTTACACATTGAAGTGGTGAAACTTGTTTGCATCTTTGACCACGATGTCTTGTTAAGTCACCTTGAAGATGGACTTTGTTGCTGTATGACGATCTGCAGTGTGTGGAGTCTGCAATGAGCAGTCAGGCAAGTTTTGCAGTTGTCACATCAATCTCTTAACTCATGGTGTTGCTGACGCTTTGCCCTGTAACTGGTTCGATGGAACGAGTCCAGACAAACTTTCTTGTGCAGAACAATCATCCCCAGACTCCAAGAGAAGATGAATCACTGAATACCAGTCATCCTGAGCAGAATTATTAACTTCAAGTTTTGTAATGCCAGTCCTGATTCCATGTGTTTCTAAAATTTGACTTTCTCTCCCAAACTACTGCAGCTATGTTGTGATGTGCATAGAAAATCCTGCATAGAAACCAACACGATGGACAAGCCCCCGAGTGGATGGACTTCGTTCAAGGCTCAGGTTGTCCGAGAAGAGGGAGGAAACGAAAGTCTGTTGAAATGGGTAAATTTTGACGTCACATTAGCTTGCATTGTAAGTTGCATTACGTTCTCTCCTCTCTGCGTCATTTTCGTCGCAATTACAAGTTTAGATTTCCTTCTATGTATTGTCGATGTATTCAAAAAGAATGTATCCTCAAAAATGGTGTTAGCCTGAAGGTGATATCCGTAAACCCAAGAATTAAGATGGATATAAAGAAAGAGGGTTATTCGCAGGATGAAATGCCATAAAACTCATAAGCTCAATCAATCTTTTTGTAAGATACGCTATACGGGCTACAGTAAAGCCTCAACCAGTTATCAAGTTGTCCAGAAATGCAGAGGTTCAGTTACTTGGCATGAACCAGAACCTGCAGAGAAAAGCACCCTCGGGGACCCTTGATCTACACACACGCAGTTCATATAACGACAGCAACAACGATCATAAAAAAAATTTAAAACTGCAGAGTTTTACTGGTGGCAGGACAAAACCTTTACAACTTCTGAACTAAGGCCATATACAATTACAAAAGTCGAAAACATTACAATAGTGCTGCAAAAGGTGTTATTGGTCACAAATTGCAACCATTCTGCACACCTGGCGCTTGAGCATCATCGATTGAGGACAAAAATCAACTCGTATTACTGTATACTCCTCTCAAATATACTCATCCAGCATAGTAAAAAGAAAGAACTAAATAAACTTGAATGGCCGTTATCAAATGTTTTTGACACTTTAGTGACGAAGTAGTCCTGCCTGTCCTGCTTCAGTAGCAGAGGATTTCATCCCTGTAGCTAACCAAAACTACGATTTGGTGTGGTCTACAGCTTTGGCTGCCTACCATTGATGACTAAATCTGACAAACAAGACATTGCTTGGAAGGCGATAAAGGACGGTTTTCTTCTCGGGGTGTGGCGCATCATTGATTTGAGGTCATCACACCTATGTAAAAATCACAACCACCACCACTTAAGCCTGCACATGAAGTAACTGAGGTGTCCGGTCATCTTATTGAATATTAAACAACCTGATTTTCTCAACTCAAGTTGTGTCAAGTTAAGGTTGGACATTGAGTCGAAAAATATCTAAGCAGTAGTAAATGACCCAAAACACTTATTCCTCAGTCATGAAACCCAAGACTCCACAGATTCCAAACAAGTGACTTTCAGAGTTCCAAAAACGCAATGGAAAGAGATATACATCCCCACAAGTGCTTTTCTATTGTACTTTGCCAGCAGAAAAAACTAAAGCAAGACTTCGTAACATCCGGCTATTGAAATACTCAGGAATGGGTGGGCACCAATTAGCTAACACGGATTGAGCGAGAATCATGCCAACCTTGAAACCAATCACCGTCTTTTTGGTCTTTTCTTTTCCTGCTCCTCGGCTTTGACTTTTCCTCTGGTCCTGGTCATGGCAACTTCAGGCACTTCATCCTTTTTCACAGCCTTCGTTGAAGTTTTGCCAACGTTGAGGTCAATTTTCTTCGGCGACGCAACAGTACTGGAATCCTTCTCTTTTTCTTTGCTGGTAGGCTTCGTGTTCCTGCCACTGCTTTTTCTGTTGTCCGATGGCTTAATGGGCAACTTCTTCTGGCTAGACACTTTGGCCGCTGTCGAACTCTCTTGTTTCTTACCATCGGGTGACTTCCGAGTGGATCTGGTAGTGGGAGTAGATTCATTGACCTCGCTAATGGGAACTTCCACTTTCTTTGAACTTTTCATCTCGTTAGTGGCTTTCGCGCTCAGCTCTGGAGCTTTCCTCTTCCGTGTAGATGAGACAGGAGTAGTTTCATCAACCTTTTTTGAGCTTCTTACTGTGGCTTTAGCAATTGTCTCGGGAGAGCTGCCCTTGTCTGTAATGTCCTCCTTGACCATGCCACTTGACCCTCCCGTCTTTCCCTGCGACTGACATTCATACCATTAGCTCTAGTATTGTGTAGTAACTTACCGAGCAAAGTTCTTCAATACATCAGTGCAACACTAGAATAATAGGTTGCCATATCCAGATGGGCTAGAGAAGTTAAGAGGAAAAAGCATAGACATCAGAAGAATGCTGATACCTGGATAACGGTGGGACCTGTCCATGGCGCCCATTTGCCACCATCCCATTGCAAGGACGGCCTCAAGTCCCACGTCTTCACAATTTGTGTGTCATTTTCCCCTGGAAAATAGACGGTAACCTTGGTCTCATCAAGGTCGTTTAGTTCAGTAATTGTTCCTTCCCACCACCTGATAGCAAGCACATCCATAAAGTACAAATGAATCCATACACCCAAGTAATACTCAAAATCCATTTGAAATTGACGAGAAGCAGTTATGAATGTAAATATCAGCACCTTTAAGATATGTAGACATATCACATAGAATGTACATCAAATAGGACAATCACCTAGATCCAGTTGCCACGACATTTGTAACGAAAGTATTAATCCTTACCCATCCTGAACAAACGCGTCGACGTAGTCACCCACGGCCCAAGTCTGAGATCCTAATGCTACACGACGCCGCTTTTTAGAGCCTGCTTCTCTTACAGAGCTGTACGGATGTAGAGGACGCACTTGTCTCCGCGGACCAGAAGATGGCCCAGTAGCCTTGAAAGGAAACCATTCTTCGACTTTACCAACGCCTACATGATGCGAACCACTTACTGAGCATGTGATAAGAAAGAGTAATAGTATAATGACCTATCCGTCATAACATAATTTCCTTTAAATTAAAAAGTACCTAAGAATACAAGTATCTAATTACTGAGTTTGAAGAAGCAGAGATCTTTTTCTTAATAAAAGAATCAGAATAATTTACCATCGTCATCCAGGATTTCATCATAAACTACGCATGCTTGAGTTTTAGTCGCCGTTAAGATTTTTCCCGAGAACCAACCACCGCGCAGTCCTTCTTCATCAGTCATGACCTACATGCAAGGCCATCCTCATCAACAGCTTTTCAACATCCCACTGAAGACATGATACAACTTCCACAATATCAAAACAGTAGTCATCCAATGAACAAAACCTTCACACACCATCACATCCAATAGGCTATGACCAGAGAAATGTTTCTTACCTCCACTGCTGAGCCTTTTGCAATACGTTCAGATTGTTGATTAGTGTCTACATCAGCTCGAGCATCTAATAAATCTTCATGGTGTTCCTTTTTCTTGGTCAACGGTGCTGGCTGACTATTGTCCTTTTGCGTCATGAGATGCTGGACTCCACCTTTAGACTTGCCTTCATCAGTGTCTTTTCCTTTAACAGGTCCAATTTTCTTCTTGCCAATTTTATCCTTCAACGCTTTAACTGATGATTTTTTCGACGAAGCTGCTGCCAGCTTGGCCATCTTTGATTTAGGCAAAACTGATGATGTCTTGGTCGCCTTTGTTTTAGGTGAAGCTGATACCGTCTTCAGCTTTTTTGCAGACTTTGTTTTACGTGAAGTTTTGATCTTTTTTGCACTGCGTCCAATACCTTTGTTATCTGTTCCCTTCACTGCATCTGCTTCGCGCAACCGTGGACCCTCAGCACCACCAGATTGCGTCAACGGGTTGGCCAAAGCCAGGACTGTACCCGCCTGTGTGGCAGCTTCAGAGGCCATTTCAGCGGCTTTAACAACGGATGCCAGCATTTCTGACTTCGGACTCCTAGTTGACGTAGATTTTCCCTTCCCCTTACTTGGCGAAGCAGAGGATTTCCCGTTCGAAGCAATCTGCATTTCCGCCTTTCATAATCAAACACATGTCTCCTTCTCTAACTAAAGCAGGAACACAGCTTTATGCGAATAGTAATACTGTAATAAAAAGCACACAGTTCTTTCAATTCGAAAACGACGTCACTCCGCAAGCGATTCATCCCTGTCCATTCTATATTATGTACTTCCAAATTCATTCACTACTAGCGGCAGGAGGCATGCAACAGTCCGAGTAGCAAAGTTTTCCATACACTACTAAGCCTAGTGAAAACCTACACCTTTCAGGTGAATCGGAGCACTTAGCACTTCTCGGACAAGTGCTGCGACCTACCTGACCTCCACCTTGCCAATAAGCCTTAATGGACACGTTCGCGATAGCTTTTGCAGCCTCGACAGCGGCCTTCGCGACTGAAGCAGCAGCCGCAACAGTGGCAGCCACAGACGCTATTTGAGCCTCCCTAGCAATTCCTCTCTCTGAGTGATCCTTGGTTCGGATCTGAGCCCAAGTTATATGGCTTTGAGCAAGAGCTGAAGCGGCAGTTGTCATTGCATCATGAGCAGTAATCTGCGCTGCGCGAAGTTGTCTGTCTGTATCATCCTCAAGAATCACAGCGTTCTCAGATGCATCTCGACGCAAGTTAAGATTCACCTTCACAGATGTCATCAGATCAGTTGCAATCCCACCGCGGCCAGAAGACTTTTCACCGGCCTCTTGCGGTGCTGCTTCCTTATCAGAGGACTTCCTCTTTTTCGAAGAAGATGGATCTCCGAGATCTGAATGGCCTATAAAAGGATATCCAAGATCAGATACATTTAGAGGTCAGACCTAAACATAAACTCTAAGAATGAAAAGGAAACCCTGATACCGACATGTTCCATATGCAGTGAACTAAGTGACTTTCATCATGTGAACGTAGAGAAGTGACCCGACATAATGCTCAGCAACTTTTAGCAGGTGCTGTAAGGGACGCAATAATTTCAGGCTCACCTTCACAGATTTCAGGACATGCAGACTTCAATAGATCCTCGCCAGGTTTATCACCCTTCCTGAAACAAATAAAAATATATCATCACAACCTATACGGGTCGCATAAAGCATAAGTAAACCGTACGGATATATGATACGTATCTTCAGTAGAACGCTATTATATCAAAATATCTAAAGTGGAAAACAATATCGTGGATGGATAGATTTGCTCAATGACTACTCAGGTATTGAGGATATGAGATTCATTGAGTATAATCTAACCTATTCATTCCTAAAGCGAAAAGGGTAAAATACATCGTCTACACATCACTCAAAGATTTGAAGTCGAGAGATGGGTAAGCACTCTTACCGCAAAATCCCCATCACAAGGATTTGGGCTTGCAATTGGGCCCGGTTCGCATCATTGAATAATGATTCAGGGGCAGAAGATGAAACAAGATCCACTTTAGCGCTGGAGATATCTTTCAAGTTCTCGGATGGTCCCTTGTCACCATCGGTATCATTCTCATCTCCTAGAACAGAAATACTTTCTTTTCTCTCAGTGTCCACATGCTCCGAAGTTCCTGTTTCTTGTTGATCTGCATCCTTCGTAACCCAACCGCCATCCTGTGCTGAACATGCACCAGGGGCTATAGTAGGAACATCCAAACAGGCCTCTCCACTAGATCCGTCACCTGAAACTGCTGTCACATCCACTGCCACGTTTCCTGTAACGTTTTCTACAAGCTGCTGGTGAACATCTACTCCCACATCCCCCTCCCTAGAAGCATCCAAATCCGCCACGAGTTGGCCATTTTCAACCTCAACTGAGGTCGTAGCATGCTTGTCAATGATTTCAGCTTGCTCCAATGCCGCAGTGCCTTCACCAAACTCTTCAATCATTTCCGTATCTCCTCCCAAAAGTGCTTCATCCTGCTCTGTCATTAGCGCATCACTCGCTGGTACCGTAAGATTGACATCCATTTCGCAAGTCTCTCTATTTAAGTCAACTAATCCATATTCAGAATGGACTACCGGAATGATATCTTGAGAATTTTTCTCATTTTCTGGAACCACACTTGCATTAATAGACCCCCTTCCCACCTCCGCAAAAGACTCCAGACCCCCTTGTTCAAAAACCTCCAATTCCTTGCTGTTTACATTACTACGACCTTCAATATATGGGAAATCATCTTCCTGCTCATCGACATTGCATTTATAATCCCCACCCTCCACAACCTCTATTTCCATGGTTTCCTGTGTTTGCACCACCATTGTGATCTCAGTAAACTCAGGTTGAATCTTATGGGCTTCTCCTTCATCGCTCCCCTCCATGTGATCCCCATAAAGCCTTAAACAATCCATCTCACCAAAAAAATCTTCCCGACAAGCAGAATTCGGAAGAAATTCAAAAGTTCCCTCACATTGCCCGTGAATGTGGTGACTCTTCAACCCCCAAATCACGCTTCATACGCTATCCACCATTCTTGTTAAAGCTCCAAGTGCGCGAACTGCTTTTCTCTGTCCAATCGTTGACAGAGACTTCGATGAGTAAGCTGTAGGCGTCCATCAAATTCTACCACAATGATGATCGTAACTAAACCATTTAACTTCCAAACATGGTCAATCAAATAGCGAACCATATACCGGCCCCAATAACCCAGCTTACGAGTTTATGAATGCGAGGTTGTGTGCAACTTCACGAATCGTTCTCCCACTGACATCGTCCAAAGTTTCTACCCAACGGCAACACTGACGCGATCAACGGTACCTAATCGAAAGCAATGATGTCCTTCAGTCATTGCGTCTGACTGCAGTGTCTGATTAAATAAACAGAATATCTGAGAGTACTCAGCAAAGGCCAAGTATTCTTCTTTACTCAAAAATACTGAGTCCCAAGTGCTTCGAGGCTAGTCATGGTACGATGCCCTACTCAAGAAATCAACCAATTTCCCCAAAGCAAAAACCAATGTCACGAAACTAACACTCCTCCGAACCGGTAGATGAGAAATAAGCAATACACGCGATTCTCTAAGTTGAAAAAAACTCGCTACAAGGAACACACCCTAAAATTAAAATCCCAAAAAAATAAATAAATCAAATTGCGAAAAAAAAAAAAAAAAAAAAAAAAAAAAACCCTGCACGACCGTCCCAAGGGTATGCTTGCCATCCAAAGAAAAGGAAACGATGAGCTAAAATGGACAACTCGACACATCCCAAACATAGGCACTACCAAAATCAGCGAAAACTATACACACCCATGAACAGCAACAACCAAGAAAAGAAGCTGGAGTGGCGGAACCGCAAGGAACGAGGCGTGAGGGAGCTCCAAGACAAGGGACGTACGAAGGAAGCACTACCTGGTTGGGCAGATAATCGCGCAAAATATAAGAGAGCAACAACACGCGGGGAGCGCAGACGGCGATGAAGAGCCAGGGCTGCAGCGACGATGGCAGCCAGAGGCGGGGTGGCTATGGAGTGAGTGGGTGTGGCGATGGCAGAGGAGGAGGAGAAGGAAGGCAGGCAGGAAGGGAGGAGAGAGAAGAGGGAGGGCTGGGCTGGGCTGGGCTGGGTGGCAGTGGACGTTGTCTGCGTCGACTTCGACCCGGGCTTCAAGTCGAAGAACTTACGTAAGTTACTAGTAGTCACTTCCCCCCACCCACCTACTTACTTACTCACTCACTCTCACACACACACTCTCTCTCTCTCTCTCTCTCTCTCGGTCTCTCTCTTACTAGTGCGTAATTGGTGCCTTTCGCTGAGGGCCGGTTTGAATTGTACCCTCCCCGCTCATGCTGACAGTGTCAATACTCATGGTCTCTCTGGGGAATTGGGGCTCATTGATAATTCTATTCAATCCCCTCCTCCTCCTCCTCATCCTCCTCCACCATGCTCCCAGGGTACTCTTCTCGTTCCCCATCCCTACACAACTCTACACTCCACTGCCCCCCCACTTCCTGCTCTTCAGCATTCCCCTCATCACTGTGTGCTTTACTCCGCGCGCGCGCTTACGCACACACCTACATTGATGTACCCTTGTTGTGTGCATTTCTACTCGTTCCTTCTTCATTCCTTCTGTGCGACCAATTCTCTCCCTATTTAATATGATTGTTGTCAGAGTTCAGTGTGTAATTAGAGGGCATTGATTCATCTCACTGAGTGCATCATGTCTCGTCCTCAATCATATCTTTGTTTTAGTATCAATGTTTGACTTGGCTGAAAGAATATAAAATACTTTTAAAAAAGTAAAAGTAAAGGTAAAATTTGGATTAAATTATTAGAATCCAGGTTATAACACTGTGTGGGAAATAGAAAATGTATAAAGTACACATTAACGAAACGGTTTGTTTTGCTTAACATATGCCACCTTATCAACCGTACTTGGCACCACAAATTGCATTTAGTTATTAAATTATAACTAATGTCTTACATGATGTGCAAGTAAACTCAATATTACATCATGTTTTGTATAATTAAAGGATTGTTTGTTAATAAAGAATAAATATAGGAATATTAAAAAAAACAAAAACAAACGAACAAGTAACAAAAGAAAACTAATCAAGACAATTTGGTAAAATTTTGAAAATCAACTTAAGTATCATTATACAATTTAGATAAATTTAAATCAAACAAGTAAGTCAAGTAGAAGGCAACTCAAGAAAGCATTAAAATGAATAGATTCTAAATTCATTATTTTTTCACAAAAAGGTTATGTAACAACTATATATTTTTTATAATATTATTGGTATTAAAAAAATTTACAAAATATAAATGCTTGTTTTTATAAAAGTTCATAATATTCAATAAATTTTCAATTACAGATGTGTGTAGAAAGTCTTGGATCATTAAAGGTAGCTGCAATCTAAAATAATATCATGATATAAATTCTATAGAAGTAATAAATATTTAAAAAAGAATATTTACTTTTTGATATGTGTTAAGATGTTTTTTTTTTGTTAATATCTATCTTACAAGCACACAACAATAAATATAATATTTTGATATATTAAAATTACAAATAAAAATGATAATACAATAAGATATTTTAAGATTGTAGGAGGTTATTACATTATATGTCTCTATGTATGTGAGTATATATATATATATATATATACACACACACACACATACATATATAAAGCTTGAAACATCTTTAGTAATCAAAGAAAATATGCCAAGGAATTTAATAACTATTGTGTAAAAAATAAGAAATAAAAATTTACTTCTCCAATTCATTAAAATTTTCCAAGAAAATTGCTAGGCAGTAAAGCTAATATTGGTTTTTTTTTTATCATAAATGGATTTTACTTATTTTTAGTGCCTAGAGTGTTCTTGTTTGTATAAAAATGCATTCAGTATTGATTGATAACATGTGAAGACGTGTTTTATTTTTCCATTTTTATACTATGAATGATTTTGAAACTACTAAGTAAAAACATGGTATTATAATGCATGATAAATAGTAAAATAATAATACCAAGCAAGTATAATTAAACCAACTTTTGAGGTACTACCAACCTAAGATCTCAGGTATGTTTAAATCTTACACTTAATTATAAGCAAATTAAGTGATGGTATTTTGAGGATATAATTTTATAATGTGTTTGATGATGATTAAAAAAATATTAATATTGATTGGAAAATGGATTTGCAGTTTTATTTCATGTGTAAGATTAGTCACAAACAGTAATCAATAAACATTAGAAATATAATTAATATTATTTTAACAATAATTTGAGTAAATTAAATTGCACCTTTCATAAAAAGAGAATAGGTTAATGCATATATATATATATATATATATATACATATTTATTTATATATTATTTATATTATATATATAAAAATAAAATACTATCAAAGAATTATTACTATATTAATAATTTGCAACATATTAATAATATATCAAATTTTATGAAAATATATAAATAGTGTTGGGGCAACACTTACAAAAAGTTGATTTATTTATTTTTATCCAGTATATATATATATATATATATATTTATGTATTTATTTTTAATTTGATAGTTAACAACTTTACTTAATCCTTTTTCATTCAAACTAAATTTACATTTTAAATAATCTAGATATTTTGATTTAAATATACCTTTATTGAAGATTAAAAAAAGAATAAACCAATGCTAATTGCTATAGAACTAGGATTTTATTTATTTTATTTTTATTTATCACTTTTACAATGGGCCTAAAAAATTAAATCTCTTTGTAATGTAATAATCTTGATGATGGTTAAATCAATATCTACTACATCTAACCACAGTACATAAGCAATTAAAAAATTACACATTGCAAAAACTACACAATGAATTACACAAGTTACACCAGCGTTGCTTTTATTTCTATATCTATTTATTTATTTTGGTTGAGTCAGTACAAATTGTGACAGAGATTCACATGACAACGCAGCAAGTGTTACAATTATTATATTCTAGAAACAAAGAAAATAAGCCAAAACTGCTTTGCATTATTGAAAATGACGTGGCATCCTCGTGATGGAAAGCATTCACATCGGCAAATGCCTTCAACATGGATCAAGTTTCACAAACGAAGAACTAAAACCCATCTCCCCCCCCCCCAATGCCATGTGTCAATTCCCAATAGGGTAACCGAAGTAAGGTACGTGGAGGAGGAGAGGCGGACCCATACCGAGGAAAGGCCAGCTAGGGCTGGGTGTGGACCTCAGGAGTGGTGACTGGGTGACTAGGCCTGGAGGAGGCCAGCATGGCATTTCAGTTCAGAATGAAAGAGAGAAGTGAACGAGAGCATCCGTTCGTTGTCGTTCCGTCACCATGTCCTCCGGCGCTGCTGTTCGTCATGGAAAGCCTTCTTCCAAAGGCGGAGGAGGAGCCAACTCCAAGGTGGACAGACTGGATGGCTGGCTGGCTGAGGGAAGTTATTTCCGCGGGGTTGCATTAAGCTTTTTTCATCATGAAGGCATGTCGTTGAAGCAGTCGGACTTTGACCTTCGCCGGAACGATTTCGGTTCCGTCCTCGGCTTCCACTTTCGTATCCTCATCTTTCTTCTCTTCTCGAAACTTGAAGTTGGTTTCGTACTTCACTTGATCATGCCTTTTTGAGTGTTAGCATTGTGTTCGTCGTGCTGTTTCCTAGTGCCATGGCGGCGTCTATCGTGGATCGCTTGCGCGACGCTGCTCTTCGGTGCTGTCAGGTACTCTTCTCCGCTAGTTTCTTCTGCTTGCGGTGGATTGCAAAGATAGCTTGCCGATTGCAAGTACTTTCAGCTGGTCGTGCTTTAGTTTTTTATTTTATTGTATTTTTTTTATTTTTTATTTTTTATTTTTTTGTGCATTCAAGGAAGCGAGGGCGCCCCTGTTATTAGAACTTTTGCCTCGTGGAGTGTGGCCGGAATGATCGACTGCCTGCGCCGTGGTTTTCGTGGAGATTGTGCCACAGCTGGTTTTTTCTTGCGTTACCACCCTAGTAATGTTTTTGGATTGGGTCAGGATGAGGAAATTGAGGACTTGAAAGCCTCGACTCAAGACTTTTTGGATATGCTCGAAAGCCCACTCAATAACCTGGAGCTCAGGAAAGAATCGTCAGCGAATTGGCTTGCCCAGTGCGAGCAAGTGCTGCAGGAGGCTGTGGATTTGTTGGATCCATCTTTGCCTTCTGGCTTGGTAGGTAATGGCTTGTGGTTAGACTTTCGAGTTTTTCTTTTCTTTTTTGTTTGTTTGTCAGCAGGCTTTCTTGGTAGCATCGGAATGGTTAAGATCTTTACATTATTATTATTATTATTATTATTTGTTTAATTTCGACAGAAACGCATATACTGTATTGAGGCTTCTTTCTAATGACACGGGCGTGACTTGTGAATATGTAGGTTCTATGTGAGAAGATAGGATTGGAGCTGCCGAAGGTGGCGGTAAAGTTCGTCAGTCTGTCTCAAGCTTGCCAAGATCACTGTCTTAGCATCATCGAGGATTTGGCTGAAAATTGCAGCCCTCGTGAAATGTTCGCAGCCTTCATGGAGGCAATTCACTCCATTTCTCAGTTCTGCAAGCTCGTGTTTAAGAGTTTAGGGCTGAATGAGTAGCATGTGTTTTACTCAACGAAGACATGATAAAAAAACGCTTCATTTGATGAACTGTGTGACGTCGTTGTGCAATATCTAAACTTTTGAACATTCTTGCGTCTGGGGGGGTGCAGGCCCTAAACATGTACACAACGTCAGAGACTTTGATCTGTTGTATTCCTCTCGTACAGGGGCTCTCTATAGGTGAGCTTACCCACGATTGCTAGATGTAGGAAGTCTTAGGGGGATCCTTTTCATCCCTAATGTGATTATAATCTAGTATTAACGAAAATGACGGAAACTTGATGTCGACTTAGTCAGTCTCCTTAAAAGCGAGAACAATCCATGATGATTTGACTTCATCTGTCGATGACATTCCAGCTTTCGATACTGTATATATATGTGTGCAGATTTATTAAACTTCATTGGTAAATGTCGAATGAATATTTGAGCTTTAATTGGGCTTTTATGCAGTGTTTTCGCGTCTAAAGAGGCGCCAAGGTCAGTTTTTTCAGGAGGCAAGTATAGGGCTTCTTGCACTGGTGCGCTTGGCTGCGCAAGATGAGGGGGGTGAAGAGGAGGAAGAGACTCCCATGGAGACGGTTCAGGGGATGGATGGGCACAACGTCTTTACCCTCGGGCAAGTTCGTGCAGCAATCGTGAATGACATTGTGCAGCTTGCCCAGACTGTCAGAGAAACTTGCGATACTGTGGGTGTAAGTTTCTTATCAAAGCCGCGTAAACAAGTGAATTATTCTAAATTCCAGTTTAGACCGTCTTCGACAGGCTTAGTTCCTTGCTTGCCGTATTTAAACGCTCTTAAACATTTATCTGTATTTAGTAGTGGTGGAACATGGTCATTGCTCCTATTATCATACTCTTAACTTTTATAACTTAAGACTGTCAGTATTCCTAGTTTCTTGCATTACCTCAAGTTGTGGGAGAGCTGCAGGTTGTCGAACAGCGGGAATATTTTCAGCAAAGACTTGGAATGTTTGCCCTTCAGATTCTGGTTGGTTACTCGATGAAAGTTTGTGAAGCCTTTATGAATGAACAAGCCTTGACCCTGAGTTTAACTTAAATCTTGGTCATCGCTTTGATCATGTCTTCTTTTGCCTTTAGTTGAACCAGATTGGATGCAATTTTGTATTTGTTAAAATTTCACTTTAACTACTCATTGGTTGGTTGCTACTCTAATGTAGGGTATCACAGGGGAAAAGGTTGCATGTCCAGGAACTGAAGTTCCAGTGTCAGTAATGGAGCTTGCGGAGCTCTTGCCCTTTTGTGGTCTTTCTTTGCTTCGGCTGCTCACAGGTGATCAGATTGAAGATCTTATTGAGACAACATCTGATGGTAAGAACTCCTCGCTGACATAGTAGCTCAGTATTCTTGGTGTATATGTTCGACTGATTCATGATTCAATTTCAACGATTAACCGAGGCTAAGAACTCTTTGAGGAATAGTAGGCTGCTTTTTCTATGTATAGTAAAAATTGGAGGGCGAAATCTTACACTGCATGAAGCCAACCTTAGCTAAAGTGGAGTTCCTAACTTGCCATACTAATGTTGTGGTCACTTCTGGACATCGCAGAAATTTCTGAGCAGGTGAATGGGAAGAATACGAAAAAATTAGAAGCTTCAAAAGGAGCCGCGCTTGCAGGTTAACTATCCGTAGATTGAACTTACAGTTGTAGTTTTCTCTTGTTCGAATAAATCAGATGATGCACACTATGGTCAATGAACTCAAAATGGACAACAATGACCTTTCAGCATTTCCAAATCATAAGTGCAACTTCTTAGTTATATATTGTGCTTCATTCAGCAATCTCAATTTTAAATATTCTTAAGAGCTGATCAAACCTTGAATTCAAGTCGTCAGTCTAATTGGGCCTCAAACACTCTTTACAGCAACGACGATAATAAAGACTAAAATTCATTTGGGCTGCGTTATCTAGCTCTTTTTGTGGAGGATAACAAGTCTGTTCTGCGTCATTCCTCTTGTCCTTATTAGACTCGTTTAATGTATTTTTTCCTTGGTGCTCATCATAACATTTACTTGACTGTGGCCAGAACAGTGTACTGGACTCTATTCAATAACCAAGTAGCAGAAGCAGCCGAAGTGACCCTGAAATCTATCAAAGAAGTTCTCCAGTTCAGTGGGAGAAGAGGGATAGTAGCTGCATTATCCGTTGCCGCATCACTATTAACAGGACAGTCATCAAGGCCCTTGTCATCAGTTGCTGCAAAAGGGTTGGCGCTTGTTGATACGATTCTTGAATTGGTGTCTTCCTTGACATACTCCTTCGATGATGAAGAAGCAGAACGCTGGCTGGCACTGGTCTTACGAATTATACCTACTCTTCAGGTTCAATCTGTCATTTCTTGTCAATATATCCAGGTTGTACCTTGAATTGTTTTGAATTTAATTTCGCTTGATTTGTCTTAGAACCATAACTGATTACAAGTTTGCAAGATGAGATGCAGATCTATTTCATGTATACATTGAATCGATTTTGTCAGAAAGGCGAATGTGATTGTGTTGTGGGCAGAGAACAATTGTGGCTGCCGAAACGTGTGGAAAACAAATAGATATGAATGAATGTTTAGTTTAACGAGAGTAATTTGCTTGCTTCAAGCTTTCTAATCCTCGAACTGTGTCTTTGTATTGCAGAGACTTCAAAATGTAGTTGTTTACGCACTCAATGTAGAGATGAGACGCCAAGGTTATGCTGCCTTCAAAAAGGCGAGTTTCCCTGCTTTCAAAGTATGGTTGTATGATCCCTGAATTTTTATACCTGTGGCTTGGGTGGCGTGGAGGAAGTATTGCCCAATACTTGAGAACAGATGTCGCTAGTGAATAAAGAGTTACATTCTCGTAGACATTAGCATTCTGTGCATACATTGTCCTGTTTGGGCTCAGAAGTTACCTGTAATCCAAAAACAGGTGATCCAAGATGTAGTTCCAGAGGCTGCTAGGTTGCAATGTCTACAAATGCTCATCAACGATTGCGTCTCTCCATCTCTGGTAAACCTCATCTAAGTGTCTTATTAACTTCTCTTTACCGTAGTGCTCCTTTCACTTCCCAAAAATCCTTCAATACATGACTGTCATGTGAGCCCGTTCAAGAACATTAGATTTGCGGTGCAAAGAGCATCTGATTCATAACGTATCTAAGCACGAAGCCTGTTGCAGGTCTCACTTCATTTAATCCTCATAAAAGATGAGATCGCTAGAGCGTGGCCTCCAAGTCCCCAGCAGCAAAAAGAACCGATCAGAGATGCAAATCCTCTAAGAGAGAGGCTCCATACTGGAGCATTCGCATCCCCTTTTATCAGTAACGACGTTCTTGATGTCATTGGAAGTGTGTTGAGACCAAAGAATGGGACTCCCCCCGATTTACCAGATCAGATTGATTCTGTAAGTTCCCACGATTGAAACTTATTATGTGAATACGCCCTGTACGAGGCAGTAACAACGGCACATGTGGCACACTAGTGCACATAGAGGCTGACTGTCCCTTTCTGCACTGAGCTCAATTTTAGAATGATTCTCTTCTGATGTGCACTCCGCTGTCTTCTTTTATTATGTGTTTGTGGCATGTGGGGTGTAGGTGCAAAGTGCTCTCAACCTTTATCGGTTCATCCTCATTCGAGAATCCTCAGGTTTGCCTAACTATAATATTGTTAGTCGAGTATTTTTGCAGAATACTTTCCTTTAGATATAGGAAAGCTCCACTCTGCCCTCAAGAATTTAAATAGAAAATTTTAAAAACTTGGCGGTAGCGAGTCGTAATGATGCAGCTCTACATGCGTTTCTCCCACGTTGCAGGAAAGACAAACCACACAGGGATCCTATCAAAGGAGGCTTTGACTATGGCTCGCAAACAATGGTTGCTACCTCTACGTGAGCACTTAGGAGGAGTGAGTGTAGGACTCATGGGCGAAGCTGACGAAATGTCTAGTGCCATGGCACTAGCCATAGACAATTTGCAAAGTGTGGTTTATCGATGTCTTGAACTTAACGAAGAAGTATTCGCTCAGCTATAGTATATCATTTTGAAAGTGGATAAGCATTTGTTATTTATTTGCAATTGTAACAAATAAAAAAAATCTTGCTTCATGTATTCAGTAAAAGTAGTATTCTTTGGGAGGATATTCATTCAAACAGATGGTGAAAAATGCCCGTCTCAAAGTAATACATTCTGCAGAGTTCGCACTATTGAAGTTGCAATCATTTGGTTTGCAAATAGAGAATTCTTCTCTACACACTTAGAAAGCAACCTGCATAGGAACATACATACAGTTGTCTGCCTTACTCGCAGTTTGCAAAATTCTTGCAAACGCGGAATTTGGCAAAGACATACGGATATTGCCGCTGGTAAAAATTGCGGAATGTGTCACGCCACATGCAGCGGTGCGTAACGGGCGATGCACCTTTCAACACGTAGTGACAACCGTCAAAGAAATCGCTCGAGTACTCCGGATACTCCGGCATTGCCTTGAACCCTGGTAAGGGTTCAAACGGGGTAGATGTCCATTCCCACCCTCCGCTTCGCAGCTTCTTCACTCTCTCACCTTCTTTGCTAGCAAGAATCAAGTGATACTCTGGCTCAGTCATCACCCGCCCTCCGGACCAAGCACAGAAAGCTTCCGCTTCCGACAAGCTCGTGAACACCGGCTCACTTGCAACGCTCCTCCAGTGCTCGGTAGTGTGTGAACTATGTACAAAGTAGTCGCCGTCAATCTCCGACCACGTTGCTGGTGCAGTGATCCTGTGGAGTTGAAAGAATGCAAAATCGAGAGGTTTCCAGAGCTCTTGTCGCGAATAACCTCCTGCTTTGACGAATGTGAGGAATTCACCCACTGTCACTGGCTTGGAGGAAACTCTAAACGGTTCAGTGACCGTGGTGGTGAAGCTTGGATACTCGTTGTCCCACATGAAGGTACCATCACTAGGATCTCCCCCAACCACCACCTTTCCAGGAGCTATGTATATCATGTTCGACCCCTCAAGCTCCTCGTCAACCTTGTGAACTTTGCCGTTCGTTGCGACATTTGTGCAGGTTTTGTGGACACCGTTGAAAGGATGGCCTTTGGTGAAGCCGTTGGATTCCGTGGAATGTGGTCCGTCGGTGTGGGAGCTGTGATGACCGGCTTCGGAATATCCGTTCGAAATGGAGACCTTGACGATGCCATTTGTGATGCCTTTGGTGTTGCCATTAGTGTTGCCCTTGGTGTTGCCATTCGTGATGCCATTAGTGATGCCGTTAGCTCCGTGCTTGTGTACATCATTTGTGATATCATGAGCGTTATCTGGAGTGGTTCTGTTGGCACGTTTCTTTTTCTCAAATGCAGCTTTCCGCTCCTGTGCGCGCATGTAGGCGAGCGTTTCTAAATGCATGTATTCGTGTTCGATGGCAAGGATAGCGAGGCGAGGAGAGATTTGATTGGCAGCTAGCGCAGCGAGCAGCTTGGCTCTTGTTTTCTGTACATAGATCTCAATTTCTCCACGGCTAGGCCACTCGGTCGGTACTTCTGGGTGAGAGTGACACTTCGTGGGATCGACTACATTCGGATCAATCCCGCGCGAGAACGTGATGTCCATGGGAGCAGGAGGCTCATTGGTAAGAAGCTTGAGCTTGGCGAAGGCCTGGATATGGCCGCTGACATAAAACAAAAAAGAAACGAAACAAAACAAAGCAAAAAAATTGTATTAGAAACACATGTCTTAAATTACCTCAATATCAAAGGCAGCAAAGTAGCTGAGAAAAAGCTCAAAGTGACTGCACACTCACTAGTAGAATTTGAAGGGATGGCGGACGTCGATGGGCTTTATAGACCAATCCAGTATGTCCTGAAAGAATCTATCCGTCTGCGCCCAGCACCGCTCCAACGCTTCCTTGAAAGGAATCAGCATCTGCATCCCCCACATGCTGTCACGCCATGCGACGTCGATGTGGAAGCCGGCCTCATTGGCCAAGCGGTTGAAATCACCCACTGTAAACTTGCGAGAGACTTCGACCAACACACGTTCTCCACTCCTGAAATATATAAAATTCTTAATTCTATCATGATTCCTCCGTACTCCGTCCTCGACTTTTACACAATCTTAGCGCTGGGAGTACGCGCATTCCTAATTCGACAACCTTGACACCGAGTAGCGTGCATACCATGAAAGTCACAAAAAGCACAGACAGCAAGGAATGCATCCGCAAAGAACTGAAATGAGTCATACCGGAAAGTATTTCTCACCTAACGTGGATATTGTATTCAGGAAGAAGCAGCTCATTCGTGAACTTCAGATACATTTCCACGCGGCGCAAATCTTCGTTCACCACCACTTCGTAAATCCATGCATCCTCCTCGGATGGGGTAGTGTTATGGCCCAGCAAAGCAAGTGCGCAGCGCATTCCGTTCTTAATGAAAAGCTCCGTGACACCTTTCTTGTCATAATAAGCTGAGTAGAGCTTCGCCGTGTCCTTCCACATGTCAGCGCAAAGAAAGATTTGACTGTGAGTTCCGACGGCAGCGTGAATGTCTCGAAAGAATTGGATGGCGCATTCGTCGGTGAAATTTCCCACGGAGCTCCCGAGCCACATGATGCAGAGATTCGCAGTGGGGTACATTGTCCGCACTTTCTTCAGCCCTTCCATGTACTCGCATTCGACCATCTCAATACAGTCGGGAGCAATCCCTTCCTCCACGAGGTTCGTGTGCGCTTCTTGTAGGAACGAGGAGGAGACGTCAATGCCAACAAATCTGCATCTGTATAATCCATTGCAGACAAATTGTTTTAGTTACATCCCAAGTACTTGAGCAGATTTTGAGGATTCCAGATAGAGTGAAGTTAAGGATGTACCGCTTGTAGTGAGCTTGAACGGCGGATAAAACTATACTGGATTTGCGAGCCGTGCCGCACCCGAGCTCCACAATGACGCTGCCCTCAGGAATGGATGCGGAAATGTTCCGCGCGTGCTCTTTGAGCCTCTGCTCCTCCACACGAAATGGATAGTACTCCTCCAACTCGGTAATTTTCTCATAAAGCTCCGAGCCACGATCGTCGTACAAAAGGCTGCAAGGAATTTCTTTGAGAAGTCCCTGAAGTCCCTTTAAGACTTGCACCTTCGGCGAGTCGAAACTTTTTCCCATTTTGCCGTGTGACCTTCCTTAGCGACGAGCTGCCAACCATCCAGGCAAGCCACGTTACTTAAAATAAAACCAGAGTCGGCAAAATGGATATTTTCAAAACGGACAGCGAGAAAGAGCACTCTGCTGGCGGGATTGCAAACTGAGCAAAATTCCACCGCAAATCGACCGTCCTGACTTAGAATTTTTTTGAATAGACGATCGGGAAGTTAATATCATACCTATCAGTCATATTCTAGCTATATCAGAAGCGCCAACTAACCACAACTTGATTGTGCGACATTCTTGGATATCTTCCCAAAACTATGCTATTCTCTACATTGGAACCGAGATTGTCGCAAGCGCTCACCAGGTTGACAGGGTCGTGCAGGACTTTTAAAATAGATGATTTGAGGAGTTGATTCTACGGCTGAGAGAGTCAGTGTTTGAGGCGTTTGTGATGGTGATTTTCTTCAGGTTGATCGCTTAGAGACAGAGAGGAGTGTCAAGAGCAGGAGGAAAACCATGAGTCGGTGCAGACCACTAAGGCGCAATTTCATCCTATAATTCGTAGAGTGTCACGCATTTCACGACCGGGATTAAACGATCGCAACCTGCACACGACCTCAGCAAGACTGTCAGTACAAGCTTAACTTGAAATCCTCGATATCATACATAGAAACTGAGATAGCAGCAAACTTCTCCAGCTCTAGAGCGATGGCGGCTCCCGAAAACATCACCACAAAATTACCACGAGCTGAATGGTCTCTCCGAAGCGAGGATCACAATGCCTAGACAGGACGACATCTGAAGAGCTAAGTGTGCTAAAGGAGGAGCTCGAATCTTAAATAAGAAGCTTCAAGCAATTGTGTGTTCATTAATTCTCATTCCACACTGAGTAGACCATCCTTGACTCCCGAGAATCTTTGGAGTGGTCACCTCTAATTTCTGCTTATCCACAACAAGCACAAACCGCCCCCTTGCTTTCCAACATGGGGAAGACAACTAACCTCACACAAGAGATTAAACAACCTACTGTAGCGATGAGTTTTGGCGTGAGTAACGAGAAGCACCTCATTGCAGTTACTAACTACTTCATCAATCAGGAGCGAATTGGAGCATCAACCAAGCAGAGCGAAGGAGAATGTGGGGAACATTTATGGGTTGAGAAATTCCAACGGTATTTCTACTGTGCAGGCACGGTCCCTGCCTGTGTCCATTCACAACCCTGCCCAGTATTAAATAACTAACGAGTGCGGGTAAGCGGGAATGAATCCTCGCACAGCCATTCCAGGACAAGGACAACGAACCTGCGCCAAGGCGGAGGAGCTCCCACAGTCTCACTCAAACCAACACGCGGCAGTGGTCGCGAGACGAGCAATGTGGAGGAGTCTCTGCGTGTCAAACAAGAGTTGTTGATATAGAATGTTCGTGAGGATGGCAGAGGGTTTATTGCATGCGATCAGAAACGCTCGAAACAAACGACCCAACTTCCAGTCCCCTCACCAGATGATTTGCCCAGCAGTAACTGCGGCATTCCTTTTCAATCGGGACGGTCGATTCGAAGGTTCTCTCTTCCTCCTGACGATACAGCTCATGTCAACCCACACAAAGCGCATTAATTTGACTCCGAAAATACCTCGTTTCTGTTCGTCGTCCGCTCTGCAACCTTTACCATGGTTTGTCTCACGCGTGAACTACTCATCTCGCCAAAACTTTTGCATGCGGCCAGCTTTCTCAACAAAGAGCATGCGGGCGCGCACAGATCCGCACGTAGCATGCTCGCACTGTGACCGACTCCGGAAGGGGCCATCAATCAGTGTGAGAAGACGACAGTCAACAGCATGGCGGCAGCTAGAGTGCCGAAGGAAAGGGGGGAGGAAAGGGGCCCGAATATTACATGATATCCTCATTGATGTTAGCTCGAAACTCGAGTAAGTCATGGCGTGACTCCCGAGACGTGCCTGAGATTACGCAGTTTAAAACTTTCACTAGAGGTTGGATGAGTAGGGGATGTTGAAGCAGGGGTGGGAGTCACAAATGGTACCCGTCGGTCCAGAAGTGGTGTAGAAGCAGATGCTTTGTGACTAGAGTTGCATCCTTGTCATTTACATGTGTAAATATATATATATATATATATATATAGATTTTATAACGTCGAACACACTTCACTATGATTTCCTCTCTCTTTTGTGTAATCGAGGCTTGGAAGGTTCACGTGACAAGCGTGCTTGACCACAGGACTTCTGGACTTCTGCGATGCATGGTTAGGTGCCGTTCTGGACAAAAGTTTTGATCGTGGGGAGTACTATGACGCATGATTTTGTCATTACGGTGCAAAGCTTCTCCTCCCTGGTGGTGGGGGTGATATGGAGGGATCACTGGATTGGTCGATGATTGTCACATGCGAAGCTGAGCTCCAATAGGGGACACATGACAAGGCTACAGCTACAAAAGCACTCAAATCGTGACCGAAGCATAAATAAATATTCTCTAATCTCTTTTCCTCAGAATAGATGACCTAACTCCCCTGAGACTTCCTCTCCAGCGAGCATAGAAGATTCTAGTTCTCCCTGGTCAAGGAATGTGAAACTGCACCTTATTCCCTTTACCGTTCCTCACATTTATTGTTTTATATTTATTATAGATTAACCAGTGGTTTGTGAAAATTTTCAAAGAGTTATAAACTTTTCTTTTGAAAAAAGTTAAGTAGACCCAGGTCTATGTCAGGTATGCCAGTTAGATGCCAACTACTAACTGAGCCTATGATTGATTGATGGATAGCTTGATAGTAACTGCTGTTGGGGTAGAACACTCTAGTGTCACAGTCCACTTAAAACGGAAACGTATGAATAAATTAATGGTGGAGAGTGTTGCTTTAAAAATATGCACAAGAACAAAAACTAATGTGCCAGCTCTTGTTGTGCATGCAGGTGGAGGAGATGGTTGAAGTAAAATGAAACATAAAAGGAGGAAAAAAAACCCCAATAAACCATTGTTTAGAATAATAAAATTATGTCATTCAAATCAAGCAGTTATTTAGGGCTGCAAAGTTTTGTGCTCTTTGAAAAGAGTCCATGCCATGTGACTCTGTTCCGTTTTACTCCCAGAGCTCATGCTCTTACTATGAATATCATAAGTCACTCTCTCTCACTCATGACAACAAGCTGGCGCTGATGTCAACTTATCTGTTGTTGTGGCACCTGAGTCAGCAGCTTAATAATAATAATAATAATAATAAAGGCCCCATACACCATCTTATTTACTCAAACTGTTGTCCACATTCACCTATTTATTAAAAAAAATATTTTAAGAATCATAAATGAAATACACATGAGATGATTGCAAGTGATACTTCAACTTTGTACTTGTTATTTTTAGGAGTAAATATCATATATATTCCTCAAATATGTAGAAATATCAAGAATACCCCTATATTCTTGATAATAGCAAATCTATCTCTCACTTTTTGAAAATTGCAAATCTATCCTTGGATGTGATAAGCTATAATTATCTCTCTCTTTTTTTAGTTGCATCTAGGGCCCAAGCACATGCCATGCAAATTTTGGCACAATAATTTTCTTCACATTTCAAGCCCTACATGAAATATTATCAGCAATAATGTAAGTGGTTTTTAAATTTACTTATGCAATATCAACATTAATTTGAGATTTTAGATTATTGACTTTTTTTACTCATTTGTAGAATGATGATTTTTACAAAATTCTTGTCCTCTCTTGCCTCTAAAGTATGTCATGGTATTTATGAATTGTATGCTATGTGAAGAAGTTGAGCTTTGAACAAAATTTGCTTGTCAATGATGTAGTGAGTGTGTTGAGTCAATGTACACTGTTAAGTTATGTGAAGATGTATTCCTTGTGCTCTTGTTTTAAATTTTATTGTGTTGTGCTTTTAAACAGTCATTGTAATTTGAGTGTACAAAGTGTGATTTTGTAGATATGCATTTCAATAAAACACTTGCATTGAGAGTAATGGACAAACTTGAAGCTCATCCACAAATCAAAAAAAAAAAAAAAAAAAAAAAAAAATGCTCATAAATTTAAGTTGTTGCTCCTAGATAAACTTATGCCACTAGTTTTAGATGATGTTGTGCTTGCCATTAAATGTAGGTGGCTCCTTATGCAACGGTATTGATATAATCATGGATCCAAAGAGCCCTCTAACTTAGTGCATGCCAAAATGTCCATGATAGAAGTAGATTTTGATGTGCACAAAACATATGCAATCAAATTTAATTTCTCAAGAGACTCCATGTAATCACAAAGTTGAATTGAAATTGCAATCCAAAAAAAAAAAAAAATCATTTTAGAAAAGATGATAAATTAGACTCACTTGCTCAACTTTAAATCTACAGATGAAAGTCTCTCTAAGGTTGATAAGACATTATGACACACAAGTTGTACCATCAAAGAATGGTGTCATTGTTTGTAGTTTTCAAGCCACAAGAACTCTCAATTTGATGATACAATGTATTACTAATTACATTTCATGAAAGGTCCAAAATGTGAGAAAAAATGTCACACCAAAATTTGTGTGGCACCCAATTAGGCCACAAATCTAGCTAAAAATAAGATGATTATAACTTATCACATCCAAAGGTAGATTTGCAATTATCACAAAAGTGAGGGGTAAATTTGCTATTATCAAGAATACATGGATATTCTTGATATTTCCACATATTTTAAGAATATATATATATATATATATATGATATTTTTTCTTTTCTATTTTCTATTTTCTATTTTTCAACAAAGTTGAAATTGACATGTTTCTTATCTTATCCTTGTCACTAAATCCTTGTCATTAAGCTTCAAACATGTGATTTATGTATACAAGCTATGATCCTTGTGTGGTGGTGTATTCCTTTATTCATAAATAACATAGAAACACTTGTGAAGTACTCAAAATTATAGAGAAAAAAATTAAGAAAAAAAAAAAAAAAAAAAAAAAAAACTCTAAACATTTGTTTTTTAAAGAAAAAACTTTACAGAACAAATCAACAATTCTTCTTCATTGTAAAGTATACATATATAGAGGAATATTAAATTTGAAGTGTGTATATATATATATATATATATATTGGACCCCTCTAAATTTTAAATCTAATTTTGTTGTTGTCTTGTTTCACACCATGTATTCTTCACCAATCTTAAGAATGTCACCCTCTCTCATTAATCCTTCAAATTTGCATCTTTGATGTTGTTTTTCTCATCTGCGGTTATAACAAGTGTGTCTAATATGTACATAATGAGTGAAATTGGTTGCTTTTTTTTGTGACCTGACTAAGGAGAAAGACATTTTAGAGAAAAGCAAATGGGTGGAATGATGAAGATATGACAATAAAATAAAAATAAATAAAATGAATCAATTTAAGATTTACTTGGGTCCATTTAGTATTTCCCTCTGTATTTATAGAAATAAGGAATGAATGAACACTTACACCATTTACAAATATATCATGTGTTAGTAAAGTTTGTGCAGCATGTTAACCACAATGTAGAGTAAGCAAGGGACAGGCAGGGGGTTAACAAAGAGGGTTGGTCATAATCCCCAGTAGGCTTCAGAAGAGAGGCCAATGTGGTAAGCTCCTCTTGATCCACATGTGTTGTAACCATTACCCCACATGCTCATTCCCTCTTTTCCACCTCCTTTGTCTTATTCTCCCAACATGTGCCACATGGTGTCAGTGAGTTTCAAGGAACTGCACTTCCACAGTCTTGTTTGTTTTTCTTTCTTTGCTTTGATGCAGTTTGATAAGGGGAGATGGAGTTGCATGCTTCCAGCTCAGCAGTTTGCCAGCTATGTCTCATCCCTGTGGGAGTGGTCAACCCATGTGCCAAACAACAATGAAATGAGGTGGACAAATGGGTACGTGTTCCCACACTTGAATTGAGGATGAGAATTGTCCAGTAGGCTTTTCCAAATGCAGCAGGAGGAGGAGGAGGAGGAAGATAACCAGGAGGATGACCAGGATTAAGAGGAATCAAGACCTAAGTCAAGCATGAAGCAGCTCTTGGAAGTCATCAAGAGGTGCACAGGAACCTGAAAGTGGGTAAAGAGTGAGAAAACACAAAAAATGAGGATAGTAAAAAAGCATGCAATGCACAGTTATTCCATTGGATAAGGTCTAAGAAGAGAGAAGTAATGGACTCTGTCTGTCTCACATTGAGCCTATGTGTATGCACAAGGGCAACTGGTTTAGCTTTTTCGGGCAATTTTGTCTTGTATCTTCTGATTCCCCTTCAGAAATGTCCCATCTTCTTTATGCAGAAACTGGACAATGGGGGGAAACTTCCAAGTCAACAGAATGCCACGTCTCCTCCACATCCTATCTACAGTGATATTTGCACATCCAGCCCCCTGCCAAGTGGCCCTCTGCCAACTCTCTCCCTCCCTCTTCACAGCTTTTCTTCCTGCTATCAAAGAGGCAACTATTCTATGCCCTTGTCTGCACTCACACATGTTGATTCTCCAGCTGCAAGTGGGACCTCCACGCCTGCCCAATCTCAAGGGGCCTCCTGGGGATCCCTCCAAAACCTTCCTTGTTCCCCAAAAGTGCCCTTTCTGAGCATATCCTGGTTTCAAGGCTTTGCCCTTTTCCTTCTACTTGGAAGTATATGGGGGCATGCTGGAGGGGAGAACCCTCCTACTGTCTCCATGGGAGAGATGCAGTGTCACTTCCTGTATATAAGTAACTATGAACCAATTCATATATCTTATAAATATACATCTACTGTTCTATATATACCAAAACAATGCACTTAAGTGCATAAGACAAAGATGTGTTCTTTTAGGCCTCTCATAATGGCTAATTGTGTGCTCATCACCATCATGCAATAGGAGGCATATTCTTCATTCCACGAGTGCTTGCCATTTGGAGTGGTCAGCACATTCCACAGGAGAACAATGCCCATCAGCCACCCTACCAATTATTGCCCTCTTTGTTGCCCTACCTGGGTCTTTGACTTTGGTAGGCCAAATGTACATGCACTTGGTACACATCCCATTTACATATGTCATCCCTACCAAATTGCCTTGATATTAATTGGGTGAAAATAGACCTTCTGAATACTGTTTGTGGGTCACAATATCTTGACAAAGTCAATTGAAAAACAAACCTGGCAACACAAGTGTTCACCTCAACATCATTTACAGATTGAGAATAATTAATGCATCAGAGAAAGGCAGACTCTGTGCTATTATTTGGTATGATCATGCACCATACACAACAACAACCTTATCACTTAAGGAAGGGAAAGTAAAGCTCCACATGCCACTCTGAAAGATGATGCCAGAGTAGATATGTTAAAAATACAACCCTTAGGTCTGCATCCATGCAAAGAAAAGCATCCATAACTGGAGATACAGAGAAGGAAGGAAGTTTCAATGTAATCTTCCAGAGAGCATTTATTACACAATGCCATCACATGCTACCTGAAGTGGTGCCACAATTCCTTACACATTTTCCTAAGCTCTGAAAATAACCCTTTCTCCAACCTGGATTGGTCAAGATGCTTCTGATAATCTGCAGTTGAAGTAGTTAGTGATGCTTCCATTCCAAGGGAACAAGGAATAATAGAAGAAATAGAGGAAGGGCAGAAAGGGGAAAGTAAACTTAAAGAATGATGGGGTGAGGCAAATGGTCTTAGGTTTCACAGTTCTCAAGGGGATGCCCAGAAAAGCCCTTGCCCATAATAATTTGACTGGGTGGGTAGCTTTGTGTGCTATTTCTGAGGAGTTTTGTACAGTTTAAAGGGGTGTGAGTCATGGATACTGGCTAGTAAGATTTTTTTTTTTTTTTTTTTTTTTTTTTTTGTTGGTTTGTTGGTTTGTTTTTATTTTTTAGTCCACTGTTATGAAGTGTTACTTATCTAACCATGATACATACATTTGTCCAATTCTTGCTTTTCATGGACATTTTTCATTCCTATTACATAGTAAATGCATTTGTTTACACTTCCATTTATTTAAACACAATTCAAAACAATGTTCATCAACTTGAAATTTACCCTTTTTTTGTATCAAATGTTTGAAAGAATGGGGCATTCATTTGTTTGTTATAAAAGTGTTCCAACTTTTTAACTACAGAAACTCATCAATATATTCTGCCAAATAAGTTGGAATATAACAAACTTAGTTTTAAATGAACCCATACAAGTATTCAGAACATTGACACAAATCACAATACTTGCCCAGCATAATTGGTTTTCTAGGAAAGTTAATGCTCCCTTGGAATTCTGATTATGTGATGTTGCAACTAATTGACACATATATGCTTTCATTTATCACTGCTTTAGTCACTATTAGTTGAATACATTGCTCAAAACAAGGGAAAATCTACATGCCATCTATGTTTTCATGAATACAACATCGTTTTTTTTTTTTTTTTTTTTTTCATTTAAATATGGTTTTATGCATTAGTACATTTTAATATTTAATTAAAAACTTGCCGATTATTGCAATTAATTGATGCATGGATAAAGTAAGCCATTTTTTTTTTTTAATTTTAAAAGGAATCCATGGATCTAGTTTTACTTGTCTTCACCTAATATGACACAACTTGATTTCAACTACAATTGCAAACCCAAAGCTACTTAATTTTAAGAGTGCCTTAAAGCATAATTTTAAATAGATTGGTCTGATTTTTATCAGTAGAAGAGAACAACTGGACGTCTCAGATGCTTCAATAATACATACAAAATAGCACCAGACTACTTTTTCAAAGCCAAATTAGTATTGAAAACATACCACAACCAAAGTTTTATATTTTTCTTCCTAAAAGATTTTATAAATTAGTATGCATTTGACCAGGACACGCTTTGACTGTACTTCAACCTACAAACAAGGTCCACCATGTGGCAGTTTTATGTAGATATTAATTTCAAATACACAACTACAACTGTCACCTTGCGTTCAGTACCCATATTTTTCTATGCTGTGTTCTCATTTATAGAACTTAGAAAATTAAGAACCGATTGGATGGTTAAAATTAATTATTGTTTAAAAAATAATTAAATGATAAGAAAGAATGAGATGCTGAAGAAAGAATTTTCATTAAAAGCATTCATCGTCCCGAAAGTGGCCCATTCCCAGCCCATTAGAAAACCAATTCCACACCAGAGACCCATGTCCACAGCACAAAATGCAACAGGCAAAGAATGGGATGCAGTTAAGTGTCGCCAAATGGGAGATAGGCTTCAAAAACCATGTCAACCTCCACAACGAAGTCCTTGTTTCTATGATCACAGCAACAAGCTTAGCAAAGACAGTTCCTGTATATTGTCACCGAAACTTAACCACTGTATCACCATAGGATATATCAAACATACCCTCCCACGCTTTCTTATATGAGTTATCTGGAGCATGGAGAAACTAAAACTGGGTACTGTCATTTAATGTCACGTGTCACTATCTCAGCAACGAGTAATTGGCTCCATGGGTTTGCAAAAGTCTATCTGGATTGTTATTAGCAGTACTGAGAGGGACAAAGTGGACATGCAGAGAGTATTGTATCAGAAATAATTCTGTTGTCTTCACCTTCACACGAAATCAGGCTGGCCGGTGGATGTAAGACACCTGTGCCACATTCGGCTGTTGGGATCCACGTTTCTTGCGTAGGCAATCACCTCTGGGATGGGTAATAGAACATAATGATTGTTTGCGATTCCAACAGTAACACCGGTGAATCCAGCAAAACCAGCATGCACCTGTATACAAAGCAGTTTCCAAAAAACGGAAAGATTCAAATCAGAAACCCTGTAGAAGAGAATTGAACTTGTCGACGAATCGTGATTCCTACAGATGAATAACAGAACATATGTTATGTATGATAGATATTTTGTATTGACCTATGTCTGTCCCAGAGAGAAGACATACCGCGTTCTGCCCAAGTACAGCACACAAGATTCGGTCAGAAGCATTAGCTCGACAGGCTCGGATCATGTACGTAGGATCGATGTACTTCACATCCGCTGCTACTCCAATATTTTTAAAATGGTTTTTTACCTGCAGTGCGAAATATCGCAGGATACATGAATGAGTGGAAATCCTCTCAAGTAAACAGACACTAATTTCTACTTCGGTGATCTCAGTGACCGAACGCTTACAACAAAAAATGTAACAACTAGACCTAATCAGTGATTACCCTGATCCTTGCGTTGTAAATGTTGAATTAAACACGACGAAAGCATGACAGACAAGAAGGGATCAAAAAAGGTGGAGTTCTAACCTCTTTTGTAAGGTGAACGCCTATGTCTCCCAGGACTGGGTTTCCAGAGGCATCAGTGCTATTTGATAGGTTTGCCATCAAATCCTGCGGGCATACTAATGCACGTGAACATATCTTACAGCAGTATTTTGCTTAACAATTGTAAAATATGATGAAATGTATTGGGGACTCGGACTACTTCAAGGCTTTGTGGAAGAGTTTCGACGGTGGTTAAATCAAAGCCGCAGCCATGACTATGCAAGCAGGTTCATCAAAAGCGCAGGAAAACAGAATCGAATTTCTAAGTTGCGAAAGAAGATAACTCGCAATAATATAGCAAGCTTACACAAACCATTCGACAAAAATCAAAGGAGAGCGTATTGGAAACTACAGCCCAATACGTGCTCCTGGTTAAGCAACATGCAACCTCTGCAAACACAAGTCTTAACTCTTTCTGACCGTAAATTACGAACTAGATGGTTGTCAGTCAGCAATTAGATGGTAGATTGAACTCGATAAAGTGAGAACAAGAGGTCGAGAACAACTAACCTGGCCGGCACCCTCAGCTACACAAATGATAGCGCGACCTTTAGTTTCGAGTAAATATTGAACGTGCTGCAACATTCCCTCTGGTCCGTCCACAGTAAATTTTACCTACAGGTTTCATAACTTCGTTATAAACAGAATTTCTGTCTTTACCCCACAATCTAGTTGCAAAATTTGAATTATTATATATAAAATATACAGGATTTCACCAGCTGAAACCAAATATCCAAAATCATGCAAAATTGAATACAATCAAGAACATCGATATACAATGTTCCATGTTAAACCGACGCTGCACACGGCAGAGATCTGCCGCCTAAGAAAGTTATCACAGTAGGAAGCCACCACGTCAACTGTTCAAGGAACAAGAAATTGTAGTGAAATGCTTAAAAGAGCACAGAATCGATATTGGACAGGAATTCTACCTCAGGTATCAAGCAGACATCGACCTGACCACTTGCCAAAGACGCGTGCATGGCAATAAATCCACTCTGCCTTCCCATCAACTTAACGATGCCAACGCCATTGTAAGCACTAGTCGCCTGCATGACAGAGTTACTTATTACACAAAGGTGCAGCGTGAATGTCACATATGCTCACGCACAACACCAGGTTTATTTCATTTAAAATTATTTAACAGCACATCCAAAGAGCTAACCGAAAAAGATATACCTCAATGTACGCGGCATTAATAGCTTTTTGGGCTTCTTCTACAGCTGTATCAAATCCAAAAGTCCTGTCCATGAGCAGGATATCATTATCGATCGTCTTAGGAACCCCCACTACGACGACCTTCCTTCCTCGTTTATGACACTGAAAATAGCACGGGCCAGCATTAATCACTCAGAATTTGTATAGTGTTGAAATACTACGGTCTTCTGAACTAAAGTATGCTTCTCATCATCCACCATTGATGCATCAATCTGGCCTAGATTAACCTATGTATCAAAGGACAATGTTCGGGGACGAGAGGTAAGAAAAGATTTGACCTCGTTATGAATGGCGAGTGCACCTGCATGCGTCCCATTCCCTCCAAGAACAAATAACATGTTGATACCCTTCCTCTGCAAATACAAACGTTCAAGGGTGAACTAAAAATTCTTGAAATTGGAATGGATGGCACTCATGTAACCAGGTACATACATGCATTAGGAAAGCTAATGAATATGAATGAGTATTGGTGTAGCTTTAGAATCCTCTATACACACTAATCTGGTGTGTACAATTCAAATAAAATCAAATAAATTATAAGGGAGCAGTAAATAGCAGCTTAGGAGCAGCCGAACTTACCTCTATGCTATCCACAATGTCAGAAGTTTTAGATCCTCCACGAGACACCCCCAGCAGACTCCCTCCTTCAAGATGAATGTTTTGCACTATTTTCCTTGACAACTGCAACTCAAAAGCCACCATTAGTTCAGCTTAAGTTTACATTCGTAAGGAAGAAATTAAACTAAGGTTATCTGTTTCATATCATTCAAATAACGTTGCCAGTCTTTGCCCGATTCTCTGCGGATGTTGAGCGACATGGGTAGGGTGATGGAACGAACAGGAATGTCATGAAGATTTTCTTCGAAAAAACCTCGGTAGCCATTGCTTATTCCTCGAATATTCTCAACGCCATAGCAATCCAATGTCAAGACGATCTGCAGCAATTTCATGACAGAAGTATTTAAAATTGTGAGGATCCCATAACACCGAGGCCGCTAAAGTCTGTGAAATCCATATGCAGATGTTCACAACCACGGTCAAAAGGTACGTAGAGCACACACCTGACGAATGACATCATTGAGGCCAGGACAAAGTCCTCCACAAGTCACGATGGCTGCATTAACCTCTGCCGGATCGAAGAAGATTTTTGACCGAGGTCCCGCCCTTGCAACCCTTCACAGAGAAAACGACAGAATTATTGGGAACTGTTTATCCGATTTCAACATGAAGGTCATGACAAACAGAAACTCAATGTGGTAAGGAATCCGTGAGTAGCTCAATTGGTAGAATTGAAAGGCGAAAAGCATGGTGAAAAATCTCCGATTACAAAACTGCAAGAGGACCTTTATTCATATATGATCTCGTCATAATCTAAGCAAGAATCCACTGATGACCATTGGTTGCCTAAATTGTAAGGATTGAGCAAACTATCAGTAGTTGTCTTGCTCTATTCAGATGCAGATGTAATAAGAATATTATATTGCGAACGGAACTTCGAGAGTTTGAATCTCTTTCCTTTATGTAGTAATTAGATTGCTTACCATTGATGTTGGAAACGGCATTCCCCATCCATACATTCGGCTCCAGCTGAAGTTGGTGAAGCATATTTTATCGTCTGTTCACAACCATTTCCAGGCTCAGAAAATTCATGCAATTCAAGCTCTAGAGATATAAACACATGAGGCACTAAAATAAACATTTTCTTCAGGGTTTGAATTCTCTTTAAAAAGAAAATCCACCAAGGTTACACTCGAATAACAAACTTTTCGTTCGCCAATGGCATTGCCAAAGTTAAGCAACACCAACGACATCGTCCAAATTGGTACCTTGAGAAGTACACGGTCGTCTTCGTGGACAAACATTTTACCAAGATTGGTGCTCCAGCGGTTCACCTGCCGGCCTTCTGGCAAGGGAAGACTACATCCAGCACAGCAAAAATTCAGAACTTTTCTCACCAGACTGGTGATAAATCCAACTACAAGGGATAGGTTTAGGCTTCCGACCAAAGTGTTGCAAAAATGCAGTGTTAACTTCAGCTGAGAAATTCCACAAATCCCACATTGAGAAACTCATGCGCAGAGCATGCAAAAGAGGATTGACATTCACCTGGTTTTAGCACAAAAAGTAGAAGGACGAGCAGGAATATCGAATACGTCAGTAATGTGAGGTGGCCTGAAATTCTCCGCATAATCTTCATCGCTTATCTTTGAGGATACCCCTCGTTTGTCGACGCTTATGGAATTCCTGACTGTAAGTCGGTTGTTCCCAAAATCGCTACTTCTTTTCTGTACCAAAGACACATCCGGCAAACGGCCCTTGTAGCACCCCAAGAGCAGCTTGCTCGACGAAGAGCTTACAGGTATTTTAGGCGACAAGAAAGCGGACTCCAGGGACTTCGTAGCATTTCCGTCCACCCGAATCGGCATCACACCGACACCCGCCATCATCAACACAGCGAAGTGAATATCAGCTCGACGACACAACCTCTCACCGCTAAACCCTGCAGAACAATTCCAGATCCACACAGAGGCCGATCGGGAAAGACCACTGCAGCAAATCTCGTCTTACGCAATCAAACTACAACCGTAGACCTAGTAAAAAAATCGAACGGATCAACAATTCACCACGACCCAGTTCGGATACTCAATCGCATCGAATACCATGAAGCCCAAGAGCACAAAATCTCAACCCGAACAAACGAGCTGATCATACAACTACTCGGCCCCCACAAGCACTTGTTTGTCAACAATTCCAAACCAAATCGATCTGGAATCACTAAACCTAATACAGTCATCGCTGGCAACTGCCTCGAGCTCCCCCCTTCGAAGGAATATGGTTGGCAGAGACACATTGACAACAAGAATCTCGTTAAAAGTGGGGGGACTCTTTCCAGGTCCGTTCTAGTGCTCCCCCCTCCCTTTCAAGAGGCGAGATCGCGGTTTTGTTTTTCAAAGTTATTGACAAAGTAATGGTGGAGATTATATATATATATATATATATTATTGGAACAAATGGAGGAAACTCTATTGCAGTAAATGATAAATTACATGTGCCCCAGCCAGGTCAGGCTGGAAATAATATTTGTGGTGTGAGTATTTTGCATTCTTTAAAAGATTATTGTATCTGTATTTCTTAGTTTTTAATAGTTTCTGGTTTTGTAGTGTGTGATTTAATACTACCTGTTAGGAATTTGAAACTTGTTCATACGTTGTATTTGTAAATATGTTTTACCTATGTCATTATCAAACTTTTATTACAAACATCTGTTTTTTGGAATAAAAGTTTATTTTTTATTTTTTATTTTTTTTTCTTTCTTTCTTTTTCTTTCTTTGGAAAATATTATGGTCAAACATTATGAATTGCTGATGCAAGCACACCAAAATAATGATGTGATTAATTTGGTTTGGCATCAAATTTGAAGATTCAAATTGTTGCATCATATATGCTTTATATTAATTTAATAAAATTATGTGTTGTCTATTTGTCATGATTTGCATTTCAATAATTTTTTTTGTTCAATTTTTCAAAGTAAGCAGAAAAAAAAAAAAAAAAAAAAAGAGAAAAAGGAAATCAATTTTAAAATTATACATCTAAATGAAAAATAATATACTTACAATTCTTAGTCAAAGTTATTGCATCATTCTACAAACAAACAAGAATAAACCAAGTTACAATATGGCAAAATTATAATTTTTGAACTATATAAAATAACTTGCCTAAAATTAGATATGAAATTCAATTCAAGTCCTGGGATAGTACTGCTAAGCCACAAATAGACTTTACAGGATTAAAAGAAAACAAAATTTTGTAAATTGTTTTATTTCATTTTATTTTATTTCTTTTAAAATATTTGCAAAGGTTATAAATTTTATTCATTGAAGCTTTTAATGATACAAACAACTACTATTTTTATTTTCTATATGTTATGTAAATATCAATAAAGTGTCTACTTTTATATTTAAATAAACTTATGGAAATTATGTCTGTTTAAAGAAACATCATTTTTGAGGGGAGTATGTCACCATGTTATTCCCAATCACTGTCATGTTTGATTGTCCACAACTTTACATCAACTTCTTCAAATAAAAGGATGTGTAATATTTATATCAATATTGTAATATTGAGAAAAGAACACATACTTTCTAACGTCTTTCCTTGTGAAGTTGCTCCAAATCTAAAAGATATATGTCTGTTTGATTGCATTTAATTAAAAATTTACAATTTTCTAGGTATTCTCTTAAAAGTTCCCTGGGTTTTGCACAGATTTAAAGTTGTTGCTTACTGAATGCCAATTCTTAGCAATGGAGGTTTGAGTCCTGCAGGCTTCAATCAGTTACATCAATCTCCTAACCTAATTAACCTACATCATAGTCCCTGATCCGCAGTCCATATTGGCATGATTCACTTCTCAACATCTCATCCATTCTAGCATTCTATAACATGTGCAATCTACAGTGTGGAGCTCCATCAGTACTCCCAAACCTCCACTCCAATGACCTAATTTGAGCCATCTCATTCGCCCATTCTCTCAACAGTCAGCAACTCTACTGTTGAGACTGTTTCCTATTGCGAAGATGTCGAAATTGTGAAGATCCATAGAGACATTACTTATATTTGAATTTGAATTTCCTTGGTACCATGTGAAACCTTAAACTGATGTGTATGAAAGATTAAAGCCTGTGCCTGTGTTGCTCACTGCATTATTCAATTAGGTTCGCGATATGAGGAACAATTTTTATTTAACATGAGGAAAGTGAGCAAATTTAAAGCACGTCTCTTGCTTGAATGTGAGTATCAATTGAAGGTGGCTCACATCAGAGATCCAACAAAATTGAACAACAATTAAGATTTCACGTTTCTCAGGTAAACATCTTCCTCAAAACAGCCTCCAAACGAAGACCTTCGTCTTAACTTAACCTATCTAAAGCCATAGCACATCACCGATGGGGCTCCTCACTTGTCTGCTTTCGTAATGATCAAAGAACACCCTATACACTGTTGTCGTTCAAGGATGGAAGAAAACACAATCTGTAGAGGGAAACTCGTCGAATGAATGGACACCTATGCTGATGATGTGGGGGCACTGGGTGCGGAAGAGGCTGATGTGGGAGTATACATTCCCAACTGAATCAACACAGTCCTCTTAGCCCTAGACAAGCGAGACTTCTGATGCCCTGCCTTGTTCACGTGAATAGAACTCACCTGCGCTGCCTTATCAATGATTTTAAAAGCCTCACTGATGAGCTTCTCAACATGCTTGAAGTCTTCTTCTGAGGCATCCGTCTTCTTCTTCAAGACATCCAAAGCCACAAAGACCTAAAAAGTCCCATCGGTGTGATAGTAAGACAAGGTAACAAATCTCTACTAGATAGAACGACCAATTCTCTATCATGCAAATCGGGAAAAAGTTATTAAAATGGCGGGGCTTAAGTACGAAATGAAGGATGAATAAAGAGAAGCAACCTTTTTCATGCGAGTGGAAATCTCAGACTTCTTGGACTTGTGGTAGACACGTCTCTTTTCACTTTGACGGGCTCGCTTGGCAGCTTGGTCAGGTTTTTTGGTAGGAGCTGCTGCAGCTCTCACCAGTACTGACCTTCTTGCCACTGGCCCTATGACCAAGTTGTTGCATCCTCCACCTGCAAGAAATAAGTGGTTGTGGGGATTTCATTCACATTAAAAATGCAATTGGTAGAGGTAGAGGCGTAAAAAGACTGCACAATTGCACCTATTCGAAATGGATGTGTTAGTATGTTAAAACTGAGAATAGCAATGCGTGTGTCTAGATAAAGAGCTATGCGCAATTTTGCATTACATTTGACTTATAACCAAATAGTGTAATAAGGTCCTCAAACTGTCAAGGCACTAAATCCTCATTAATCACGATAAGCTTAAAATCCCGAATTATAGAGAGAAACATCCATCCTTCTCACAAAACACCCATAAAATTTCAACTATTAGATTAGTCAGGAATAAGGACATGCTGCAGATCAACCGATAGAAAGAATTTGCAGAGTCCCGCAATGACGTTCCAAAGCAGAAACGCAAATTTAAACGAATTCCAAACACACGTACAAAACATCCCTTTGTCACCATTGTTCGAGATTTAAAGACGGCCCTTCATAAACTTACAGTTCATAGCGCAGATTTTTATCTATAAAAACAGAGTTTCACAAAAAGAAAAAAAAAACCAAAATGGAAAAATTCAAGAATAAGGAAAAAAAGGACGACGAAGACGAAGAAGAAGAAATCGAAGTAGTGAAAGAAATGCGTCAAATTCACAGAAATTCCCACATCCTGCCAATCAAAGAAACAATTCTGCAATTCCTAGAAGAGCCTCCAGGCTGCACATAAACATAACCCCAACTCCATTCATCCACCACAAGATAGACAGCAAAACCACACACACACACTTACTCAGCAAACACGAGCCCACAAATGTAGACTGCAGGACTACGGAGCAACGCTGCGGTGGCCAGAAGTTCGAGGGCGTTGCCACGACCAGTGACCCAAGTGCGGCCCTGCAACAGGTCCCGCCCGCAATAGCCATCGCCACTGCTCCAGAAGCAGCCTTCTTTCTTTCAGCCCCAAAGAATGCCTTCAAATTGGCTTCTACAACAACTGGGCGTTGGCAAGGACAGGCAGTCCCAGCAACAAGACCATCAGTCCTATTCTCATCACCCGCCGCATGGTGGATGAAGCTTAAGGTAAATTCTACGTTCATCTTAAACAGTTGTGTGTGTATTCCAGACAAGACTGGACTAAAAGATAACAGCTATCAACTTTCCTGGTTTGACATAAGTTGATCATGCGAATGATAAGCGACGATGAACAAAAAAGTTCATTATTCACACGGAATTTCAACATCCTGAATTAAAACATTTTACAACGAAGGGTAACCATGTGGGTCTTTGCAAAACAGCTTTTACGTAGCGTCATCCTATGCGATAGCTTCGAAGTAAAGAAACCAAAGCAAACACCACATCGCAATCTGATCACAGTTGCGGTGCAAGGATGAAGGGCCCCAGATTTCCACAGAATTCTTACTTTTGTTCCCCAACACCTGACTGCGAATGTGTAATTTTGTACATGCACTCATTGATTTGTTTGTTCGAGATTTTCACCGATTTTATTATTGAGTGAGACGTCAACGCGGGTAAACTGGCACGCAGATTAAGAAACTGCGCGCACTCGAAGTGTTTAGGATGAATAATAAGTAAAGAAGACAAAAATACTTCCCAACCAGAGAGCAAATCATGCTGATAGGTGTTCAAAGAAAATTGTATCTTCTTTGAAGAACTCAACTTGTTGGCAGCCAAATGCCTCGTATAACTTTGAGGTTTCTAGAGTAGCAAACTAGAGTAAAATGGGGGATAAAAAAGAAGAAATAGAATGGCAATCTGATGCCAATAATGAGAGACAAAGAGCTGCGATTAGAAATTAGAAGTGATGAGGGTTGCAAGGAGATAATTGAGTATGCGTGAGAAGCAATGAACTACGTGTTTTGACGAGTGAGGCTTCTCATTTGCATGCCAATTCAAATGACAATGTCATGGTGCTTTGTAATCCACGTGAGGATCCTGTTGAAGGTATCAATCATTAGATGATTGATGTTGAAGAACAACTACACATTTTAGAAGGTATATATCAATTCAACCTTATTCAGAGTGCAGTTGTTCAAATTATTTGTACCAAACACAAGGTGCCTGTTTAAGTCTACACAAGAACTTGTTCAGGTGGCACACCTTTGACTCACAACCAGGAAGAATAAAAACTTCTAAATATGAGATATAAATTTCTTCTTGAACACCATTTAGAAAGGCGGTCGCCACATTCATTTGGTGAACATGGAAGCCATGAATTGTGGCTGGGGCTAACAAGACGCACATGGAAGTCATCTGATTTCAAGAGAGAAGGTTTCAGAAGAATCGAGCCCTTATGGCTGGGAAAACCTCATGCAACAAAGCAGGCTTCATAAAATATTCTGGTTCCATGATTGAGATGGTTTTCTGCTCACTGGAATTGCTTTGCTAGTTTCGCATGCACTTGCTGGAGCAGCAGCTCGTCACATGGCGCCTCGGCGCTCCATCGTGCTCCCAGAGTCTTTGCACAAGTTCTGTCTATGATGTTTTTCACAGGTTGGCATTCTTCACTTAATACTCCAGGTCAGGTGTGTCGTCTCCTGGATGAGATATACGTCACCATAGTTTCAATGTCTCGTCGGTTTTACCCTCCGTGTAGCTGGAGCTGAGAGGTTCCAGATCACTACGTGACTGGAAGTGATCCCAAGGTTACTTGAAACTTGAAGCTCCTGGAACTTGTAGTTTCTTGTATTCCCCTAAATGAGCCACGGGATCTTTTGAAAGATGGATTGCAAGCTCACCTGGGGGTTCTGGACCCTTGTTTGGGGTTGCGTGTCCGACAGATTGTGCAAGATGTGCAGCAAGATTCATACGAATACCAATACAAAAATGAGGTGAAATGCCTCGGAGTTGACGGTATGATCACATTCCGCGATGTATGTGCATTTCAGCAAAGAAAAGGTCGAGTGCTGGGATGCTGTATCGCACAGGCTACTCTTGGACACCGAATGCCCAACGCTTCGCCGGTGATTGCCATGCAAGTGATTATGTTTGCCCTACTGCTGCACCTGTATGAGGAAATAAACACAAGATGAACAGATTATAAGAAATCAAAATAGCAATCAAAAGAACCAAGGAATTATATATACATATATGTATCTATATATATATATATATATATATATTCAACGTAAAACCACAGTGATACCACAGGGTACAAATACACGAATTGAGATCCAATACTGTGAATGAATGATATCAATGGCAACAATATGACGTGGACCAATTGTACTCTTTGTCTATGAATGAATGATAGACATGATAGAGATTGAAGTCATCATTCCAACACCTCCTCTTGCTGCAAACATTGCTTGAAGGTGAATGGCACAAGATGTATTGAGAAGTGAAAGTGGAGTTTTATCATGATAATTTTTAGAGAACCCCATGTTTGTGTTGTTTTAGTTGAATCAAAAGGAATGTTGGCAGTGACTTGGGTTGGTGACAAGACATGATCAGTTGTATTGTATTTTGTCATTTTGTCAACAAGAGCTTGGTCAAACTTGCTTAGAAGTGAGGCTGGCTTTGTAGCATGATGATAAATTGGAAGCCCCATGTTTATGTTATTTTAGTCAATTCAAGAGAGGATGCAATGAATTGGGATTTTGTGTAAAAGACAAAATGGATATCTTGTTGCTTTGTCAACAAAGACATGGTGATGAATGGATCAACTTTTTTTTTTTTTTTTTTTTTTTTTTTGTGATAGTGATCATGTTAAGTGATGACAAGAGAGTTGCTCTACTTATTGTGTAAACAACTTCTATTGTATCTCATTGAACAAGGTCACTTTTGTAAAAAAATAAGATTTGGATATCAAGATGTTGTATAAGAGATTAGTTGGTGCTCACACTATTGGTTTTTTTAGAGAGTTGGTGAGCTGCAGATAGATTTTTATGAGATTTGTATTGTCTTGATTCTTTGTATATTGCGTTGAATATATCCAAACCACACCAAGTATTTGTACTTTAATTTGGTATATTAGGTGTTGTAGTTGTGATTAATAGTTATTTTTTGTACCATAGAAAAGCAAGAGGTTGATAAGGTTTACAATTTTGTATGCTTAAGTAGATTTTTTGAAAGTTAAAAAGAAAGAATTGTTTATGTTGTTTTGTTGAAGTCATATTTGAATTATTGTAGTTATTCTAAAGAGTGATGTAGATTCTTTGAAGATTATAGGTTGATGTAGTAGTCTAAATAGTCTTATACTAGAATATAGAGAGACAAGTGGAATTTCAAGATTGCAAGTTTTTAGAATTAGTTGTTTCTACTGAAATAATTGTACTAGACAAAATGAAGATAATAAATTCAAGAAAGAAATCCAAAAGGAAATAGATATGTTTGTGAAAGAAAAGCATGTATTGTTGGAGGCTATTAAAGAACTAAAGAGGAAAACTCATTTTTTGATTTCAGTATAAGAGTTATTGATGATATAAGTATTAATAGTTGGATTGATGATAAAGCTTACGGATGGTGATAGAAATTTGAGAGTATTATGTTTATTGCAAATAATAGTTGAAGATTAGAAGAGAAGGTTGGCTAAAGAGGATAGGATTGAAATAGTGGATCTAGAAGAAACAATAGAAACTTCAAATGAGTGAAATACCTTAATCAAGGCCTTTTGATTGTAGCTAAATATATATATAAAGTAGTTGTCTAAAGATGAGAACTTCCTTGATTGGCAATGAATTAGAAATAATAGATAAAATAATATAGATGTTGAGGCTTAAAATATAAAGCTTTAGAATAGGACATGAGATTCAATTTTATTTTGTAATTTTTAAATAGTCTTTTTTCTAAAGCTTTTGTAAAAATGTCAATAATATATTTTAATAAAAGAATATATTTGAATATAATCTTGCCATTTTGAATTTTCTCTCATGTAAAGTGATAATGCATACTAATGTGATTTATTCTAGGATTTATATCAAGATTAAATGCTATACAAATGATGCCTTCATTATCATAATAGATGGAAATAGATTTGGTGATTTAAAGGCCAAAGTCTCTAGTGAGCTTGGCCAACTAGACAAACTCCTTTAAAGCAATAGATAATTCCATATACTTAGCTTCGAAGGAGTTTATGTCTATTGTGGATTACTTCTTCAAGAGCCAACATAAAAATAAAATCTATTGTAGAACAACCATCAATCATGTCTCTTCTCTAATTTTTATCAATAAATCTATTTTGTATTTGTATTTGATTTTGATAGATAGAGAATGTCATAGTGTGAAGTGTGTTTGGTTTATCTAATTATTTTCTAGGCTATTGTCAAGTAAAATTGTTGAAAACAAGTAAAAAATCTCAAGTAGATTCCAACTGCTATAGAGATGTCAAAGCAAGCATATATGAGATGGTTTAATTTCTCTACCATAAGATGGTAGCATGTAGGATCACATAATTTTGCATTTATATCAACTATTAGTTTTAGCCATTTATGCATTGGCATTGTAGGAGAAGTATAATTTTTCATACCAAAGTATTCTAGTATTTAGAGCATATAGATATGCTAAGTTATGAAGATACTCCTTGGAAATTTTAGACATTCCACCTTCAAATAAACAATCATGTTTCTTTTATTTAGTTTCAATATAAAAAATTTGAATATAAGTTATTATTTGAACCAATTTATGATTTTTTTTTTAATTATTAGTGAATAATAAATTGTCCATACAGAAAATCAATAGTAGTATTTTATCTATTTGTTTAACAATATATAGGTTGTAATTGCCTTTTCTTTTTAAAAAACCATATTTGTGTAGAAAAGAGTTAATTTTATTGTATCAAGATTTAGATGCTTGTTTGAGTCTATGAGGAGCTTTATGAAATCTGCAAACTAGATGTTCTTATATAATTTTAAAAAAACCTTGTAGTTGTGTGATGTATACCTCTTCCTTCAAATTATCATAGAGCAATTCAGTCTTGACATCTATATGATAAATTTTTCAACTTTTTTGTGTTGTTAAAGCTATCATTATTTAAATTGTGTCTCATTTCACTACTAAAACAAAGATTTTTTCATAGTCTGTTTTACTTGTTGTTCAAAATTGCAAGCTACTAATCTTCCATTTTTTTTTTTTTTTTCCTAAGATATTTAAGCTT